GCAGGAAGGCCATGTAGGGAGCTGTTGTAATTCGCACAAGAGAGGGGGTGCCTGGGACTTGTGTGATCACAGTGGATTCCATGAAAGGTAGTCTGATTCTGAATTTAGTGGGAAATCGACCTGGGACTTGGTGATGGGTTGGATATTGGCAACGAGAGACAGAGCAAACTCGAGAGTGGTGTCTGGTTTTGGTCTGATCTGCTAGGAAAGTGGAGCTGTTTTTAAGGAGCAGATTGGTGGAGTTTCACGCAGGACGTGTGAGGTTTGAGCTGCCTCTTCGATTATGTATGAAAGAGCGTCAAGTCAGCAGTTGGACAAATGCTTCTAGGGCTCAGGAGATGGAGGGGTTTAGGGCCAGGAAGTGTATTTGATTTTTTTTCTTCAAGCCATGGGGTGGATAGAATCCCTCGAGAAAGTGTCACAGTGATGAGGACCAAGGACCTGAGCCCCAGGGGTTCCAGCACTTACAGATCATTGAGGGGGAGACCCAGGAGAGGCATGGAGAAAGGAGTCGCTAGTGGGATAGGAAGAAAGCCAGGAGACTGGGGCCATCACTCTGTTAGGCTGGTGAGACCGGACCAGTGACCAGCAGGTGGCAGAGGCAGTCAGCCACAGCCCTTTGGGAGCCGCTGCCACTGAGTCTGGGGGCACGGGGTGGGGGTGGGGCAGTGGATTGCGGGGACGAAGAATTCTCGAGAGAGTGGAGACGAGGAGGAGGAGGAGGAACAGCCTGACAGACCAGGCTTTTGAGGAGGTTTTCCGAGAAGGGGGGAGGGAGATGGGATGGCAGCGAGAGAGGAGTGGGGCCGAGGAGGCGTTTGGTTCTTTGTTGGATTTACCTGAGAGGTATTTGAGCATTAGACACAGAGAGGGATGGCTCACCAAGAGGTTGCGCCTCGGAAGGCACGGGAGCGACTAATCTGGAATAACAGATGAAGGTGTGTAAGGGTGGATAAGACAGGTGGGAGCTTGAGTGGTGATGAGAAACAATAGACGCACAGAACTTGAGAGAAAGAAACAGCCTCAAGTTGGAGCAACAGGGACGGGGTCCCTGGGGGCTGCAGCTGTGATGTTGTTTAATCTCCTCAGCGGTGCTGGGCATGTGGCTATTTAGGTCACTCATTCATCCTTTCATTAAAAGTTTTGTTTAAAAATTATACCCCCCATCATCCTATTAACTAAATAAATTTTCATTTATAAAGCTATTTAATTGTTTGGCTTTTTCATTGTATTGAAATTAATTAATTGTTCTCAGTATCCTGCAAAAATAAAAAATAAAAACTGGACAAAACCCTCATGGCAGTTTAGTTTGGGATTTAGGAGGATATTTGTGAGAAACCCATTTAAAAGTCTGTTACTCGTTGAATGACTCATTCCAAGAAGTCTTTCCAAGTTGCTGTTCTGTTATCTGAGTTCTTAGTATAGCGCTTTGCTGCCATCTAGTGTCATAAATTTGTATTTCCAAGTTTTTTAGGGACTTTTGGAAGGATCTGAAGCATTTTAAAAACTTAAAGGAAACTATTTTTTCAGACTGCATTGCCGTTCTTAAGTGTTTTTTTTTTTTTTTAATATTGGACCAAAGCAATAATCCCTGTCTACTCACTAAACATGGTTAAAACAAATGAAACAGACCAGATATCAAAAACAGCTTTGTTTTGGATAGAATGAATCAATTTTTAGTACTTACTTAACATGGACATTTTTATTGTAATTAAAGGTTTTATGCTGATTTTTCTTTTAATGTTTTTTTTTTTTTTTTCATTTATTTTTATAGAGAGAGAGAGAAACATCGATGTGAGAGAGAACCATCAATCAGCTGCCCCCCGCTGGGGATTGAGCCCACAGCCTGGGCGTGTGCCCTGACTGGGAACTGAACCCGGACCTCCCAGTCCATGGGACGATGCTCAATCCACTGAGCCACACTGTAGGGTGCTAATTTTTCTTTTCCATGGAGAGCTCTTTGTAGAACACAGATCTAACCCTGGACCCTGCACAGTTCATCAGGTCTCACCCATGTGGAACAGTGCTTCGGCTCCTCAGTAATAGTTGATGTAACTCCTTACCCAGCTTAGAGATCTGTGGGGAGAGACTTCAGTTTTTGCCAAGCTGGAAACATTAGCGGTGTGAGCATTAGAAAGCAAAATCTTCTGTTAAATTTGTCTTCCAATGGAATTTGGGGAGTGGAATCAGTTGTGGACAGAAGATATTTTAAGACCAGTGAGTGGTAATGAATATACTTTAGATAACCTTGAAAAATAGCAGCGCCCACTCTGCCGTTCCTCTGCCTTCGTGGCCAGAGTCACCCGTGAACTGTTCCCGGTTTGCCAGCTCTTGTTTGCTTTGAGAATTAGCCAGACACAGCACAGCGTAACCATCCTTTTGGGTGAGGTCTCTCCGGACCGCAGGCCAACGCTCTAACCGCTGAGCCAGATGGATATTTCTGGAAAGGGGTTATACAAATGAATTTAAGTTGCTGTTTCATTGGTAATACAAATAAATTAACCCATTTATTTTTGTGTTTAGTTTCCATATGGTCTACCTTATTTAAAAAATCCCATAGCTTGTAAGCCTGGAGTTTTTTGCTGGAACTTTTCTGGGTTAATTTGTCATCCAAATCTGCCTCATTCCCCCCACTCCCACGCTGGGGAGAGCCTGGGTGCAGGTGGAGAGGGCATGCACTGTTAAAAGCAAGACAGGTGTCCATTTCTCTCTGGAGCAACTTGTGATCGCAGCGGGAACAAAAAGAGAAAGCCATACGATTGGGAAGAAACAGATGTGGGTGAGCATACACACCGGCCCTGAGGGAGCAGCTGTTTCCCTGGCAGAGAAGTTCCGTTAAGTCTGGGAGAGTTCTGCAGGACCATGTGATTGGCTTTATTTATTTATTTTATCCTCACCTGAGGACATTTTTCCATTTTTTGTTCAGATAGAATGGGAGGGAGGGAGAGAGAGAGATAAACATCAATATGAAAGGGACACATTGAGTGGCTGCCACCCGCATGACCCAACCAGGGCCGGGGACAAACTGCAACCGAGGTACATGCCCTTAGCGGGAACCGAACCCGGGTCTCTCCGGACCGCAGGCCAACGCTCTAACCGCTGAGCCTAACCGGCCAGGGCTTGAGTTTAAATCATATACATTCATCCTTATCAAATAAATTGATGTGATCTGCATACTAATTTTTAAAATTAATTAATTAACTTTATTACAGTGTTCCTTCTTTTTCCCCCTTGACACCTGCCATCCTGCTCCCACTTCACCACCTTCACCACCCTGTGGTCTGTGTCCATTGGTTGTGCATATATGCATGTAAGTTCTCTGGTTTACCTCTTCCCACCGCCCCATCAGCTTATTTTGTTCATTATATCCCTCTCGCCGAATAGAACTTTGTTGATGACTTGGTCAACTGAAAAGAGGTGCAGCCCCACCATTATTAGTTCTGTGGCTTTGGGCAAATTTCTTAACCTCTCTAAGCCTCAGTTCCACATCTGGACAATGTCTCCAAGTATAAGGTTCTTTGAGGTCAAAGTGTAAAAACTAGCACAATGCTTGGTGCATTGCTCAACAACTCCAGTGGTACTGATCATTTGTGCCAGTCTTGTCGTCCATAGATCACTGAAGCTGGGAATGAAGGCATTTCTATTCGTGGAGGGGGCCTAGAAGCTACATGAGGATGTAGTTACTATTAAATATGTTTACTACTAAAGGGTTTCTGAAGAGATACTGTGTTTTAAAATTTTATTCTGGGAGGAATTGTACAAATTTACTACCTTTGGTAACAGGTATAAGAAATGTATTCTTGCCCTGGCCGGTTTGGCTCAGCGGTTAGAGCGTCGGCCTGCGGTCCTGAGAGACCCGGGTTCGGTTCCCACTAAGGGCGTGTACCTCGGTTGCAGTTTGTCCCCGGCCCTGGTCGGTCGTGCGGGTGGCAGCCACTCGATGTGTTCCTTTCACATCGATGTTTCTCTCTCTCTGTTCCTCTCTCTCCCTCCCACTCTACCTGAACAAAAAAATGGAAAAATGTCCTCGGGTGAGGATAAAAAAAAAAAGAAATGTATTCTTGAGTTGCTCAAGGAAACTTCCTTCCTCAGGAATCTTTTCTTGACTCAGATACAAAGAGAATGGAAAGCTGTTGGCTTGCTTTCTAAATAAAGCTTTAGTTTGGAAGTAAGTCACATCAATAAACATTTAATCATGATAAAGAGAATGCAGAAGATTTATTTCTTCAAAAGTGAGTTCCTCCAAACATGCAGTCCTGAATTAGAGTGAATCAAAGCAGGAAGTACAGTAACAGGGAAGCCTCGTGAGCGCCTGAGAGCTCAGTATTTACATGTCCTCGTAGTCCGTGTCTAAACGTGAGTTTGTTCCTCTTCCTGCCCATGCTGCTGTCCTGCGAACAAGCTGCTTAGCTTCATGAATTTTTCTCGAGGGACTGGAGTGTTCTTTCTCCCAGTGCTCTCTGCACAGCTCGGGGTCCTGGGGAAGCTGGCAGACACCCGAGGCAGTTGGTACCAGCACTGCACACACTCATCCCTCCTTTCCGCGTTCCCTTCTGTTCTCTCCTCACCCCTCGTTCGTGAGCCTGGGCGTAGCTCTCATTCCATGATCCACGCATCCCTGAAGGCAGTACAAATGGCTTCATTTCTTTTACTCTCTTATCATCTCTTAATTACCTGGAAATTTCTATACTTCTGCACTTAATTTAAATTGTGCATCATTGCAATTTTTTTTTTTTTTTTACTGTTTTGCTTTATATATGTTTATATAACAAAAGATAAGCTACTGTTTAATTTAATTAGAACAATCCTAAAAGGGGAATAGTGTTTTCTATACCTTTGAAGTATTTGGTTAAAGTATTTTGTAATGTGAAACTTACTCAGTTGGAGATTCTTTATTAAACTAACTGATAAAAATCTTAATAACTAATGTCAATTAAGGCACATGTTTAGTTGCCAATTTGTTGCCTGCTTTTGAAAGCAAACTGGACTGATCTTTGCAGGGCGATCTGAAAGCTTACCTGCGCAACGAGCACGAGCACATGCGGGGGGACTCGCAGACCATGCTGCTGCAGCGGATGGCGTGTGAGATCGCCGCGGGGCTGGCCGCCATGCACAAGCTGCACTTCCTGCACAGGTGGGTCCGTCTGGGAGGTGGAGGCCGGGCGGTGTATCAGAGGGCCTCCACAAAGCTCCAGGACACAGGTGTAGAATGTAGACGCTGCCCTGTGCTTCCTGGTGTCAGCATAAGGGCTGAGTTGGGCTTCATTTAAACCAACGCTGGGGAACAGAATGTCTTAGGCCTAAGGCCTAGTAATTATTTCCCAAGTTTCAAAGGATGTATAGAGTTGTACATTGCTCTGTGCTGAGAATAAATAGTCCCTGTCTACCTCCTGACATCTCTCGTGTCCTTGTCATGTCAGCCTCAGGCTCTGGTTCTAGCTGCTAGGTCTGATGGTGTGTCCCATGTGACTTTCCTAGGAGAGGAAGAGAGGGCCTGATAGGCTCACATCATCCTTTCACATGAAGTCATAGCGTTGTTTCTGGCCAGGGATCTGAGAGTCCTGCCCATGTTGGGGTGTATGAGGTCAGGGCTGTGTGAGCAGCACATCAGTGGGTAGACATGTTTCTGTCGAACCCTTTCTGGGCCTACTCATATAGGCGCAGCTCCTTGGAGCACGCTGTATTTTGTTCAGGTAAGTGGTATAATTTTCATAATCAAACAACAAAGGGCTTTGAGTCCTACCTGAGATATTGTTCTGTGAACTCAAAGGGAGATTTCTGCTTATTCTCCTCTAGCCTTTTGAGCTATGATTTATGTTTTAAATATGTTTAAAATTAGTTCTCAGGTCTCCCAGGAAACCAGACAGTGTCTTTTTTCTTCTCTCTTTTTAAAATCTTCATCCAAGGATACATTTCTGTTTATCTTCAGAGAGGGAGGGAGGGAAAGAGAGAAACATCGATGTGAGAGAGACACATTGATTGGTTGCTTTCCGCATGACCCTGACCAAGTCTGGGAGTCTGGGAATCGAACTGCGACCAAAGCATGTGCCCTTGACCGGAATCAAACCTGTGACTCTTTGGTCTGTGGGCTGATGCTCTAACTGCTGAGCCAAACTGGCCAGGACTAGGCAGTGTGTCTGAAGTTGAGTTTAATTAAATCATTTAACTCTGAATAATCCAGAAACCTGAAAAGGGACACCTGTGTGTTTTGACATGAAGGAATGTTTATGAAATATTACATTTTTTAAAAGGCAGGTTGGACTGGGATATATTTATAGAATGACTATTTTTAAATAAAACCTTTTGATTGGTTTTTAGAGAGAGGAAGGGAAAGGGGGGAGATCCACGTGTGAAGCATCAATCAGTCCCTCCTGCACACCCCTGCTGGAGATCGAGCCCATAGCCCGGGCTTGTGCCATGACCCAGAATCAAACCAGTGACCTTTTGGTGCACAAGATGACGCCCAACCAAGTGAGCCACACCGGCCAAGGTGGTAGAGCATTTTTAAAGTTGGAATTTAGAATATTTATTGGCTGACTCAAAGTTGGACTTTCTGTGTTGGTTGAACATAGAACAGCCCACATGTCCAGCTGAGAGCTGTGAGCTGCGTTAGGAAACGGATCTGGTAACACACGCTGATACATTTCCTTTTACTTATTGTTTAAGGAGAGACCTACGCTTGGTCTTAGGTAGCCTGCATTTTTTAAGTCAAACATAGGACAATTGTGACAGTCAATAACTTCCAGTTACTTTGCTTGCCGTTTGTTACCAGGAATTCAATTTTTTGGAAATGGCTGCAGTGATGTTGACTGTTCACAGGGCACTTTTGCAGATGGGTAAACTCCAGGTCTGGAGTTGAGGACAAGTGGTAATGCTTCCTTGGGAATTGGGGTGGGGACTCTTTAGAACCGTAGACTCCCAGTTCCTGCGTCCGTCAGCCCCACTTCCACGGCTGAGTCGTGTGCAGTCACTGGCAGCTGAGGCGACAGCAGGTGCCGCAAGGCGAGGGGAGTGAGCCAGAGCCTGCGAACCCTTTCAGATCTAGCTCGCTTGGCAGCCTCCCCGCCAGACCTGTTTTTCAACTTGAAGGAAGAATATACTGGGTATGTTTGTATTTCCTGACCAGAACCTGCCATTGACGTCAAGAGTTGCCTCTGTTAAGAAGTTGTACCTTGCTTTTTTCTCATCTTTACATTTGCATGTTTTGGGCTTCAGAGAATATTTATTTTTACCAATTTTGAATCAAATTATATTATCATCATCTCTAATCTGGATACCACTCTAACATTTTGAAAACATTTTATGTGTTTTTATTTTATCCTTATAAAAAAACTTGTGAATTAGCCCTTGCAGGACACCCCTGTTGTTTTTGTGAGGACACTGAGGCTCTGATACAGTGAGTGACTTGCCCAGAGTCACGCAGTTCTTAAGTAGTGGAGCCGAGACTAGTCCCAGGTCTGGCTGCGGTGGCTGGGACGCTTGGGATGGAGGGAGGGAGCAGGGTTAGCAGAAATCCCCCATTGTCACACCACTGTCTTCTCCCTCCTCACCTCTGGTTCCCAGTCGTGAGAAGCTCTCTCCTTCCCCTGAGACTACCAGTTGAACTGTAGTGGAGTTTTGCAATCCTTGTACAGTGTGAGCCAAGGCCTTTGGCACATAACTTCCATCTTTTACTTGACCTTCACATTTGAAATGTAAAGACCTCCAGTGACCATGAGGAAGGAGAGAAGGGAGAAAGTGGGCAGTCCAGGAGTTGCTTGAATGGCCTGAGTAGAGGTGCCAGGCACTCTGAAGGTGACGCAGCTGGCCTCAGGCCTGAAAGGACCCACACGAGCCCTGGGTGGGCTGCTGGCACCACCTTTCAGTTGTGTCCGGGAGGAGGTGTGGGGTGGCCGAGAAGGGTCTGCTGATGGAGAGCGTAGGCACGCTCATCCCTCGTGCTGGGTAACAGCCTCTGTCGGCACAACCCTCAGCGGTCCAGTTGCAGCTATTGGCCCAGGGGGTAGAGCTGCCGACCTTGGAGCACTTCGCGTTTCCGCCCTCAGATGGAGTCTGCTGCCTCCCTCCTCCTTTCCCTTCATTCCGAGCAGCAGGGCCAGTTGTTCCTAAGGCTGAAATTCTCGGTTGTTTGTAACAGTGGAGCCAGGGTGCCTAGGTTTTCCCCAGACATCCACAGGCCTGAGGGTTTCTGGAGGGAGTGCCGAAATCACCTCATGTAAACAGAGAACGTGTAGAGAGGAACTTAATGGGAAATTCAGATCATCATGTGTCTATCGCAGCCCAGCCATACGCATGATGCAGTGCTCTGGTGCTGACGTACTGTCGATAGTTACTGATATTGAAAGGGTGAGGTGCTGCTGTCTACCCAGCTGTGTGATCCTAACGAAGTTCCTTCAGTTCTCAGTACCTCAGTTTCCTGTCTGTAAATGGGGAAATAATAGTACCTACCTCAGAGATTTGCTGTGGCGAGTAAATGAGCTAGCCAACAAGTAAAATGCTTAGAGAAACGTCTTGTGTAAAGTAAGTGCTTTGTAAATATTAGCCATTATTATATAATTGAATTAGTGTTATGTACCAAGTTGTCATTGAATTATATCAATGTTAGTTACTGCTGTCGTCATTCTTGTAATTATATTTCAGACCTGAGCTTTGGAAATTAAAATCTTTGAAAGTAAGAATTTAAGAATTAATTTTTGGTCTTCTGTAGGCATATAAAGACAAACATTTTATTTTGGACTACAGAAAGTCAGTTTTTGATAAATTTTATGTATGATTTAAAATGATAAATTAGGTGTCCTTTTCTGTTTTAATTTAGTGGTCTTTTTTGTTTGCCAATTGATGATTTTAAAAATTCTAAGGACTAAAGCCAAAAAATTTTAATCTGTTGTCTATATAGGAATTTCCTTTAAGAAAAGTAACTTTTTACCCTAGCCGGTTTTGCTCAGCGATTAGAGCATCGATCGGCCTGTGGACCAGAGAGTCCTGGGTTTGGTTCCTGCTAAGGGCATGTACCTCGGATGTGGTTTGTCCCCTGCTCTGGTTGGGGTCCTGTGGGTGGTGACCACTTGAGGTGTTTCTCACATCGATGTTTCTCTCTCTCTCCCTTCCTTTCTCCCTCCTACTCTGCTTGAAGGTAAATGCAAAAATGTCCTCCGGTGAGGATTTAAAAAAAAAGAAAAGAAAAGTACTTTTTCTTTTCAAATCATTTGGAAGAGATGAGAGTGTATTGAAAAGGGCCTGCACAGCCTAGACGGTGTGGCTCAGTGGTTGAGCATCAGCCCATGGACCAAGAGGTCGCTGGTTTCGATTCCTGGTCAGGGCACATGCCCAGGTTGTGGGCCAAATCCCCAGTGTGGGGCGTGCAGGAGGTGGCCAGCCGATGTTCTCTCTCATCGATGTTTCTGTCTCTTTCTCTCCCTTTCTCGCTCTCTCAAATTAATAAAGAAAAAAGAAAAGAAAAGGGCCTGTACCTCTTTGAAAAGGGAGTTATAAAACAGACATTTTTAATAATGTAAATTTGGGGGACTTGAAGTTGTAATTTATTAATCTTTACCTAGACTATTACTCAAGTAGTACAAGTTATTGTAAAAAATATTTAGACAGCCTTGGCCGGTTTGGCTCATCACCTAGAGCATCAGCCCACAGATCAAAGGGTCTTGTATTCAATCCCCAGCCCCAGTCAGTGTCGTGTGGGAGGCAACCAATCGATGTGTCTCTCTCACATTAATGTTTCTCTCTCTCTGTCCCCCTTCCTCCCTTACACTCTATCTAAAAAAAATAAATGGAAAAATATCCTTGGGTAAGGATTAATCAAAGCGGGGAAAAAAAATCAAACAATTTAGACAATAATATTTTAGAATTCTTTCTTGGTCCCTCTTAAAATACTAGGAAATGATCCATAAGTCTGGTATTAATGCAGAACCAGGTACAGACATGGTCAGTATTTGACCTTAGCAGTCATAGTTATTTGCAAAAATATCTGATCATCTCTATTATGTAAGTCATTAGTAATATGGCCAGTTTGGCTCAGGGGTTAGAGTGTCGGCCTGTGGTCCAGAGACCCGGGTTCGGTTCCCGCTAAGGGCACGTACCTCGGTTGCAGTTTGTCCCTGACCCTGGTTGGTCGTGCGGGTGGCAGCCACTTGATGTGTCTCTTTCACGTCGATGTTTCTCTGTCTTTCTCTCTTCCTCTCTCTCCCTCCCACTCTACCTGAACAAAAAATGGAAAAATGTCCTCGGGTGAGGATTAAAAAAATATACGATATATATTCTTTTTTCTATAATAAAGAATTTTAAAACATATATTATTAAGCAAGGAGCTCAAAATACTGCTCTGAGCCCTCAAGAAAGCCTTTTGCATAACAGTGTCCCGTTGCGTTTTCCGGTCATGGATCCTCCTTGCTCTCGTGCTCACTCCACTCTCTCTGCTTCCAGTGACCTAGCCTTGCGGAATTGTTTCCTTACCTCGGACTTAAATGTGAAAGTGGGAGACTATGGAATAGGATTCAGCAGGTACAAGGTAAGCCAAAGGTCTACAGGTTCTCTCCTTAGTCTGATTTAATCATTCGTAGTCCTCAGGTGGTAATGTCACAGAACGCCAGTTTGTTTTTGGAAGAGGGGCAAGAATCTTGTTTGTGTTGCCTTTTTCGAGAGAGGTTGATTCCAGTCATTTTAGTGGGGGTGTCAATGTCTGATGTTTGGTTTTTCTAAATCTGTGGCTTTGTACCCAAGGTTTGGTGACAGCTTCCCTGATGCTTAGTTCACAAAGACTTATACTGAGTGTAATTGATATGGTTTGATGCTGTATAATAAATGTTAGTGTACACGTAATATATTTCATTATTACCATGTGTATAATAAAATATACATGTCACATACATATTTCTCCATGTTCAGTAAAAATTTGGCTCAAATTCAATAAGCTTAGGATTTAGATTTTTAAACTCTGCCATAAATATATCCCCAAAGAAAATAAGAAGTACATGAAGTTTTTATCTGTGTGTTTGTAGCCCAGCTGAAAGAGGTAGCTGATGGGGGGCAAGAAGGCAACTGCCCTGGCTTCACGCTGCCGGGAGACCTTGAATAAGCACTCACCTCCTTCTGAGCAGCAGCGGGAGGATAGTTCCTGCGCGTGCTCTGGGTTCATGTGATGCACAGTGCTTTGTAACGAAAGATGCGGCCGTTTGTTTACATAGTAGCCCTAGTGTCTGCAGGCTTGCTGTATACCAGGCCCTCTGAGGTACTTGCCTGCATTATCTCATTCAATCCTCTCCTGGGAGGGGGGTATTCACCTCATTTTACAGATAAAGAAAGAGGTCCTGTGTGTTTGTTTCCTGCCCAGAGTCATGTAGCTGGTAAATGGTTGAATGTGGACTTACGACCCCATCTGTCAGATTCTGAATCCTGCCCCCTTGCTAATCGGAACCACTCCCCTACTGGGAGCGTAAAGCCCAGCTGTTTCGCTCAGAGTCTGTGTTCTGTGCATCAGATACTTCGTGCCTTCCTTTTCCAGGAAGAATGACTGAGCAAGTTTTTGTAGCTCAGACCAGCTCATGAAGCCCAGGAGGCTTCGGAGAAAAGAAACCCTTACCCACCCTCTGCCCAGAAAATCTCTTCATGCTCACTTTCTTTTGGGTTGAGTATGTGTTTTCTGAGAATGAAATCACTGAGTATGATGGAATTCAAAATTCTGTGTACTTTCTAACAAAACAGGAGGATTATATTGAAACAGATGATAAAAAAGTTCTCCCTCTGCGATGGACTGCTCCAGAATTAGTAACCAGCTTTCAAGACAGAATACTAACTGCAGAGCAAACTAAGTATAGTAACATTTGGTATGTATCGCTTTACCATTCTACTAGGCCTTCGTAGCACAGTCCTAACTGTCCTGGAGGGCTTTCTGGGATGGAAGTGCCTGGACAGATGCAGGGACAGAGTGCCTGGCGGGTGGGAAGACGATGTACCGACATGGCAGTCGTCACCATCAGTGACGTGGTTGACTTTCGAATGCTGCCTCTATTACCCACATGGCAATACTCTCCACAAAAGTGGGATCCAAGTCCATTTTCTGTGCCTACTCCAGGGCCTAGCACGTAATACATGTTTAATAAATAAATATTGAAGTGAATGAAAGCACAGAAAGGGGTTTGGATGGTTGTGTGATACTGTGATTTATAGGAGGTCAGTTAAACGGAAGTTGGAAAAATGTTTCTCAGTCTTTGACTAACAATTTCGGTTACAGCTTTCTTGATTTATCTCTCTATATATATTTTTTGTACTATTGTCCTGCTTTTTAAAAAAATTTCTTTTTCTCCTCTGGCCTTCTTTTGGATTGTTTTTGTAAACGTTTTTTTCTCTTAGTTTGGGAAATATATACTCTATTCCTGTACTTTTATTGGCTTCCCTAGAAATTATAACATATTTCACTAATTTTGTCTAATATTAGTTCATATCTTGGCCCTCTTTCTGAACAATATAAGGATTTCAGAATATTGGTTTTTAGCATCACTGTTTATTTAGGTTCTAAACAACCCCTCCTCCCCAAATTTTCTTTTTCTTTAAATCTCAGACCTTTCATCTGGGATTACTCCCTTTGCCTGAAGGGTGTCCTTCAGAATTTCCTTTAGTGAGGTTGCTGGTAACAGATGCTCAGGATTTTGTAGGTCTGAACATAATTTTTTGTCCTCAGTCTATAACTATATTTTTACTTGATGACAGTTATTTTCTCTCAGCATATTGAAGGTATCATTCTACTGTCTTCTGGCTTCCATTGTTGCTATTGAGAAGTCAGCTGTAAGTCTACCTAAGCTCTTTGAAGGTAATGTGACTTTTCTTTCTGGCAGCTTTTAAACTCTTCTCTTCATCTTTTGGGTTTGTTTGTTTTTTGTAGTTTTACTATGATGTATGTGGATGTGGATTTCCTATGTTTTTCTGCTTGGAATATATTTGGCTTTAATCTGTAGGTTGATGTTGTTCTCAACCCTTAACCTTAAAATACTGCCTCTGCTCAGTACTGCCTTTGCCCCATTTTCTCTCCTTTTGGAAGGGTGATTAGACATGTGTTTTGCCTGCTTGCTCTGTCCTTTCTCTCTTAATCTCTCTTTTATATTCCATCTCTTTGGTGCTTTGTGCCACATTGTAGATAATTTTCCAGCCACTAATTCTCTCTTTTTTAAAAAATTCTCTCTTCAGTTGTGTCTGATCTTCTATTAAATCTCTGTATTAAGTTTTATAGTTCAGTTATTGATTTTTCAAAATTTGTCCCAGTAGCCTGGCTGGTGTGGCTCACTGGTTGAGCATCAGCCCATACACCAAGAGGTCACCGGTTCGATTCCCAGTCAGGGCACGTGCCCAGGTTGTGGGCCTGATCCCCAGTGGGGGGCATGCAGGATGGGGGCATTTGATGTTCTTTCTCATCAATGTTTTTCTGTCTCTCCCTCCCTCTCCCTTCCTCTCTTTCTAAAATCAATAAAGAAAAAATATTAAAAAAAAAATTTGTCCCAGTGTTTTGAATGGTTGGGTTATACTCTGCATCTGATAATTTCAATATCTGAAGTCCTTGTGTACTTGATCTTCCTGCTTGGTGGTACCTTGTTTCTTCGGGAGCTGCTTTGTGGTGAGGCTCTTGGAAACCTGGAGTGGAGGAGCCTTCCTCCAGAGAAGACCTGCTCTGCTCCTGCGGGCTCCTGGGCGTTTCACGTGGAAGGGCATTTACGCGTCCAGGGCTTGATGTATTCAGCTTGAGATACTTTGGACTGCTCAGATGATACGAATTTGGGCTTCAAATCCAAGGGCCAGCTCTGTGGTTACAACTTAGGGACTACCCCCCCAACACACACACACACACACACACACACACACACACACAACATGCATGCACATTCATGCACATACACACTCACAGCATCTCAGGGCCAAGGCAGCTTGCCCCTCAGCCTCCTGAAGGGGGAGGTAGAGCAGGTGATTTCCCCTGTGAGGAGGTCTCTCTGTGAGACCCCTGACCTGGGCAGCCCAGGGCTTTGGGCTGTCCACCACCACTACCAGCACCCCACCCAGCCTCCCCACCAAAACACAGCAGCCCAAGCCCTGTGCTTCCGCAGAGCCCAGGGCAGGGCAGGGGGTTTGGCGTTCTACTTAGTTCTCAAGTTTTAGGTTCTGTCCGGTGGCCTCTGCTGCTGTATGTGCTCTTCGATACTTTAAAGATGTTTTATCCCTTATTTGCATCCTTACTGTTCTTAGCATGGGGTTGACCCTTATTTCTGACAGTTTGAGGAGTCACTGGTGGCAGGGATGGCAACAGTGCCACCTACTGCCAGAGGCGGGGCCCACGTGCCCTGTGCTGGGTGAACAAGAAGGAGAGGAGCTACAGGACATTTCTTCTCCCAGGAGAAGGAGCCCGAGCCCCTGCAAGGTGAAGAATCGAATGGACAGTCCTAAGAGGAGATAGATGGCTGTTGGTGGTTATCCTGCAGGAGACTGGATGCCGTAGAATAGAGTGCTCAGGGTAGGGTTGACCTTGAGCAGGAGACATGGCTCCTCTTTCTCTGTGGCTTGAGGAGCTTAGAAAGATGCTAGAAGTGGTGGATGGGAGTTGAGAAAGCCATGCCTCTTGCTTTCTGAGGAAGAGGTTAGCCAGGCTGGAGAGGGCTTGGTTTTGGAAGGGCTTACTGGGAGAGGGAAGGGGGTTAATCCGGGATTTTGAGAACTGGAAACAGGAAGAACTGTGTGTCCAAGGTCAGACCAAACTTGGTGATAACACTCATAATTTGCCACTAATCCTGTGCTACTTGCGTGGTGGTTATATTTCACGTGAATTTCTTATTTTTCTCAGTTAACTTGTCAATGCCTTACAGTCTCTGGCGGTGTCTCACACTTTAGTGTCCGGAAGGGCCCTCTGCCCCGGCAGTTCTGTGCCAGGGAGAAGGCACTTCTGACTTCTCGAACGGGATTGAGAAGTGTGGGTCCTTCTATTTTCTTTGATAGAAATGATCTCTCAGCTTAGATACTGAATATGCTGTTTTTCCTACTGATTTGTGAAGTTAGCATAAGAGAATTTAATTCATGTTGTATTATACAGTGTCCGATAATAAGCTTATTCATTCAATATAGTTTATTCAGACAAGCATTCTGGTGGACATTGATCAAAGTCACATAATCCATCAACACCCAAGCCTGGCTGGAAACCAGAATCAGTAGGGAGCTTTTTAGAAAGACTGTTTCCTAGGCCACACCGGCATCCACCAGCTAAGAGTTCTTAGGGGTGAGCCCTAAATACGAGTGTGTTTGTTTAAAGCTCCCCAGGTGACACACATGATCAGCCATTGTGGTAAATTGGAGATGATCATACATGACAGAAGGCAGGAAATGGTGGGAAAGAAATGCAGAGATCATGCAGAGGAGGTGAAGAGTCAGTATCTGGCTGATTTGGGCAGCAGAGGCCATTTCCTTGGGGGTAGCACTGGGCAGGAGTGTGAGTGGGACCAGTAGAGAAGGGGCCTTCCTGCCTTTGGTAGTGGCCACATGGCTGGAGGCGTCGAGAGGCTGGGCAGGTGTTTCCTCCTGGCACACACATAGCTGGCCGAGTAAGGGAGGGAAGTCCCTTCACAACAGCAACTTGACCCCAGCTATTCAGGAGGAACCACAAGACATGTACAAGTGCAACAGGGAAGAGCTGTTCAGGTAAAGATTTCTTTTAGGGCCCTGGCCGGTTTGGCTCAGATTAGAGCGTTGGCCTGCGGACCAGAGAGTCCCTGGTTTGGTTCCGCTACGGGCATGTACCTCAGTTGCAGTTTGTCCCTGGGGTCGTGTGGGTAGCAACCAGTCAATGTGTCTCTCTCACGTTGGTGTTTCTCTCTTTCTCTTCCCCCCTCTCTTCCTCCTGCTCTATCTGAAAATAAATGCAAAAGTGTCCTTGGGTGAGGATAAAAATAAAAAAAGATTCCTTTTAGGTACTTTGTCCTGTTTACTACTATTATGAATGGAATATTTTTTTCTACCATAAAACTCAGAATTCAGGATATTTATTTTCAATCTAACCATTTTACTGAACACTTAAATCATTTTCATGATCTTCCAAATGATTTCTTGACATTTGAAGTTGAGAGTCATATTAGCTCCTCCCTGTACAGAATTGTGCCACTTGTCTCTGTTTCTTTTGTGTGTGTATGTGTGTGTGTTGGCCAAAACTACTGGAGTCGTACCCACCAGTAGATAGGAGGCATGCTTATTGTGGTTCTCATTTTAATGAGAATGTCTCTTTCAAATCCTGTTCAAGAGCTATCTTTACTAACCTTTTTAGTACACACCTTATCCTTAAAGTTTCTGGTGACTGTACAAATAAAAATGTGGATGTTAAACATTCAGCATCTAAAGGGAGAAGGAAATAACCACTTTTCTTTTTTCCACAGGTCCCTGGGTGTGACACTTTGGGAACTTTTTGATAATGCTGCTCAACCGTATTCCAACCTTTCCAACTTGGATGTTCTTAGCCAGGTCATTCGAGAGAGAGACACGAAACTTCCCAAGCCCCAGCTGGAGCAGCCGTATTCTGATAGATGGTTGGTGATTTTTCTGTTTCCATGGGTTTTTAATTAGATAGTCCCTAGTTTTAAACAAATGTTATATATGTTTTTTTGTTAATCCTCACCCAATGCTATTTTCTATTTATCTTCAGATAGAGTGGGAGGGAGGGATAGAAGGAGGAAGAGAGAGAGAGAAACATGGATGTGTCTGGAGAGAGACACATCGATTGGTTGCCTCCTGCATGACCCCAACCAGGGTTGGGGATGAACAGCAACTGAGGCATGTGCCCTTGTCTGGAATCGAACCCGCAACTCTTTGGTCTGCAGGCTGACACTCTAACAGCTGAGCCAACCCAGCCAGGGCGATAAATATTATATTTTTCATTGATACACTATGACTTAAAAAATAATTAACATCCATTTTTATAATTTAATATTATTTTTGAAAAATGTATAGAACAAGCAGGAATTTTTGTATTATGCACAATAAAAAAATGTAAAGTCAGAATTCATTAAAAAAAAATCAACAGTGCCCTGGCCGGTTTGGCTGAGCAGTTAGAGTGTCAGCCTGCGGTCCAGAGAGACCCAGGTTTGGTTCCTGCTAAGGGTGCGTACCTCGATTGCAGTTTGTCCCCGGCCCTAGTTGGTTGTGCCGGTGGCAGCCACTCGATGTGTCCCTTTCACGTCGATGTTTTTCTCTCTCTCTCTCTCTTCCTCTCTCTCCCTCCCACTCTACCTGAACAAAAAATGGAAAAATGTCCTCGGGTGAGGATAAAAAAAAAAGTCAACAGTAGGGGAGTTTGCTATTGCGGAATTATTTTCAAATGAGGCTATTTATATAAGTGCTATCCAATATGTGAGAAAAAAGATAGTGTAAAAATGATGATATTTAAATTCAGCTGAAACCAATTTGTATAACATATGTTCACATTCGCAAAACAAACTTCTTAGGAGTCTTTGGACCAGTTCTTACTCCATTTTCAATTAGGATTGGATTCACCTCGCTTTAGGCCTCTGTCTACACCCCTGCGTGCCCAGCTGGCGTTGCCCCTGAAGCTCGGTGCCCCTGCCTGGAGGCAGGGCTCAGCTTCCCAGGTTGCTAGAGCCCTTCACCCAGAATAACTTGGCATAAACGTTCTAAGTTTAATACTTTGAAGCTGTCTTTGTCTTCCCGTCTGTGCGTGGCTACATTCGTTGGCCATATTCAGCCATCCCTTGGAAGACCCAGCTCCTGTTTGCTGCCGCCTTTGGACTTCATCCTCTCTTTTCCCGCCACCCTCAACTCCTTTTCTGATCTAAGGAAACCATGTGCTGTGGAAGGTTGTAGTGCTGTTGTTTGTCGGAGGAGTAGAGATTAGTTACAACCGCATTTGTCCATGTGAGTTCTTGTAAAATAAAGTGAGTAAATCTCCAAACGCAAGGCAAGCATGTTCTTTCCACCCAGAATACCTGTGGCAGTTGTTTTAAGAGGGCAGCATGTTAAAACTTTTCCTGAATTCAGTGAAGTCCCTGGTTACACACCAGAGGAACAAATGACAGGGCAAAGGAATTGCAGCGGTCCTGTGAAGCGTCCTGAGAACAAGACTCAGTGGTCACAGTGTGTTATTTCTTCATTTCCTCCTTCACCATGGTCTCGCCGTGGACTGAACGCCTTCGTGTGGTCAGCAGCAATTACAGTGTGGAAACTTCAGGGGTGTCGAGTTGGCTTAGGGGTTCTTGTGAAGCCTTTTCTTATTTTAAAAACAATTTATTATCAATCCATTAACTACCTCTCGTGTGTTTCTCAGGTATGAAGTTTTACAGTTCTGTTGGTTGTCACCAGACAAGAGACCAGCGGCTGAAGATGTGCACAGACTGCTCACCTACCTGCGCATGCAAAGCCAAAGGGACTCGGAAGTCGACTTTGAACAGCAGTGGAATGCTCTTAAACCGAATACAAACAGCAGAGACACTTCCAATAGTGCTGCGTTCCCGATCCTCGACCATTTTGCCAGGGATCGGCTCGGTCGTGAAATGGAGGAAGTCCTCACTGTGACAGAAACCAGCCAGGGCCTGAGCTTCGAGTACGTGTGGGAGGCAGCTAAGCACGACCACTTTGACGAACACAGCCGGGGCCCCCCAGACGAAGCCTTGTCCTACACGAGCATCTTCTTCCCGGTTGAAGTGTTTGAGAGTTCACTTTCAGACCCTGGGCCTGGGAAACAAGACGCCAGTGGCCAGGACGTCCCTGTGAGAGCCCCTGGCGTAGTGCCCGTTTTTGATGCCCACAACCTTTCTGTTGGAAGCGACTATTACATCCAATTAGAGGAAAAAAGTGGTAGCAACTTGGAGCTCGATTACCCACCTGCACTGGTAACAACTGAAATGGAGAATCCAGGAAGGACAGGTGACAAGACGCCCCAGTTTCTGACACTCAGGAACCTTGAGTTTGAGGAGTCCAGTACAGATGAAGATTTCTTCCAAAGCAGTACAGACCCCAAAGATACCAGCATCCCTGAGGACATGCGTGCTACCAGGGGCCCTGAGAGCCCTTTCAATGATATGTTTAATGACCTTGACAAATCGGAGGATCTGCCCAGTCACCAAAAAATATTTGACTTAATGGAACTAAATGGAGTTCAAGCTGACTTTAAGCCAACCACTTTAAGTTCAAGTTTGGATGACCCCAAAGACTCAGTAATAACAGGCCACTTTGAGAAAGAAAAGCCCCATAAGCTTTTTGACTATGAGCCTCTTTGCTTATCAGAAAACCTTATGCACCAAGATAATTTTGATCCACTGAATGTACAAGAATTGTCAGAAAACTTTTTATTTCTTCAAGAAAAAAACTTACTGAAAGACTCATTGTGTCGCAAAGAACATATAAATGATCTTCAAACAGAACTTAAAAATGCTGGTTTTATGGAAACTATATTAGAAACTCCACATGGAAACACTTTAGATCCTGAGCTTCAGTTTGCTGAAAACGAACCGGGCTTTTCTCCGTTGCAGGAAAACGGAAGCGCAGAGGGGCGGGAGCCGGGGGCTGTGTTCGAGGACCGCACTCTGCGCGCCTCATTGCCGTCTTCCCTGGAGGGGCAGGCGCCTCCTGCCTCGCTCGGAATGGCGGGAACCCCTCACAGAGTGCCTCCAGGTGTGTTCCCGAAGCAGGGAGAAGCCATGCCCAGGCATTTAGATGGCAGTAGCCACGATGACTGTCGCTGCCAAGAAGCAAGTGTAGATTCTGTAACTGTCCCAGTTGAAATTCCCTCTGCTGGTCCCAGAACACACGGCGTGGGCCATGGGTCCCACGACCTGACTCACCAAAATGGGGAGGCTTCAAGATGGACCCCGAGTGACCCTGTTCCTGTTGATGACATTTTTGCCAGTGAAATGAGTACAGGGAGTAGTCTTCCCGAACTGAAACAGAACCTGCAAAATCAGCCGCTTTCAGAAGACCATCCCAGTAATAGGCTACTAGAGAAAAACTCCGAAACCGTGGACACTCTGAATCAGCTCAGTTGTAAAGATGCTACCAATGAGGGGGGCTTGGTGTCTGCTCTTTCCTCGGACTCTACCAGTCAGGACAGCCTTTTAGACGATAGCTTGTCAACACCCATTCCAACTTCAGACCAGTCGGCGGAGACCCCAGACTCTCTGGACTCAGTGGATGTCCATGAGGCCCTGCTGGGTTCCTCAGGCTCTCACGCCCCACAGAAACTCTTGCCCCCGGACAAGCCTGCAGATAGTGGGTACGAGACAGAGAACTTGGAGTCACCTGAATGGACTCTGCACCCTGCTCCCGACGGTGCTTCAGCCTCGGACATGGCCACAGCAGGCGACAGAGGTCATGGCGAGTTGCCCCCCAACCCTGTCATCGTCATCTCAGATGCAGCCGATGGCCACAGAAGTACTGATGCGACCTCGCAGACTTTTGCACCTGGCTCTCACAGCTCATACCGAGACTCCGCTTACTTCTCAGATAATGATTCTGAACCTGATAAGAAGCCGGAGGGGGTTCAGGGCACCTCCCTGTCAGCCTTGGCTTCGGTAGCAGATCAGCCCCTGCCTGAGCCAGCCCTCCCCGAGCACAGTCCTGGTACCAAGGACAGCGGCCTGGAAACCGAAAGTAGCCAGTCAGGCCAAAGTTGTCTGTCTGCTTTGCAGAATTCCAGTCTCCTGGAATCAAGAGAAATGTCACAACCAGCACTGCCTGACGTTTCCAAAGAGCTGCATCCTCCTGAAGATGAGGCTGGCAGTCCCTCAAGTTTGTTGAACTCGGAGCTGAGCAGTGGCGATGACTTCGAGGCACAAGAAGAGCGCCCCTGCATGATCACCTCCACCGGGACTAACACCAACGAGCTCCTTGCCTTTGCCAGTTCCACCCTCCGCTCCGGTAGCCCGTCTGACCTGACGGCGGATAAGTCCTCCTCCAGCCACTCGGAGGGCCCCAAGCTGAAGGAGCCAGATATCGAAGGGAAGTACCTGGGGAAGCTTGGTGTGTCAGGGATGCTTGACCTCTCCGAGGATGGGATCGATGCGGACGAGGAGGACGAGAACAGCGATGACTCGGACGAGGACCTGCGGGCATTCAACCTGCACAGCCTCAGCTCTGAGTCTGAGGATGAGACTGAGCATCCTGTCCCCGTGATCCTCAGCAATGAGGACGGGAGGCACCTGCGGAGTCTGTTGAAAACCCCTGCTGCTACTGCTGTTGACCAGCTACCAGATGACTGGAAAAAAGAAAAGAAGGCAGTGACCTTTTTTGATGATGTCACCGTCTATCTGTTTGACCAGGTATCTGTTACCTCCAAATTGTCATATTAGAGGATTTCAAAATGTGGTAGGAAATGGAGTGTGCTCTGTTTCCCCAATTCTTATTTTGAGGCCACAGATTGCTTTAAAAAAAATTGCTGTTGTTGCTTTTATAATTCCAAGAATATGCAGAAATGTCGTTTGCAGAAGGAACTCCTGTTGAATTAAAGGACATCCGTGTGCTCTTCCTGGGTCCCGGCAGAGTCCTACTGAGGTTGGTTCCCCTGCACAGACCAGATTTGTGAATCTGATGCTGGCACTGGGGCCCCGCGTGCAGGTGCGAGCTGCGAGTCTGGCTCACGAGTAGCGCTGGAGATGGTGCCCAGCAGCAGTGTCCGCAGGGTGGCGACAGGGTCTGTGGACCTCCTGCCCTTCCCGCTGTGGAACAGGAGGCCCACTGTGCACCACGAGAAGTGGGCTCAGACTTTGCTTTCTTTGAAAGTGAACTAGCCTATAATTCAAACATTTTAAAAAAAATTCTTTGCTGGCCCTGGCCGGTTTGGGTCAGCGGTTAGAGCGTCGGCCTGCGGTCCTGAGAGACCCGGGTTCGGTTCCCGCTAAGGGCACGTACCTCGGTTGCAGTTTGTCCCCGGCCCTGGTTGGTCGTGCGGGTGGCAGCCACTCGATGTGTCCCTTTCGCATCGATGTTTCTCTCTCTCTCTCTGTTCTTCTCTCTCCCTCCCACTCTACCTGAGCAAAAAATGGAAAAAATGTCCTCGGGTGAGGATAAAAAAAAAAAATTCTTTGCTGACTAGTCTCGGTAGTCCTTGAATTTGCTTCTTGAATCAGCTGGATTATAGGAAAGCTCAGTCGCAGACATGTCTGAGTGGGATCCCTTTATGTTCCAGAAGGTATGGGTGTCCTCCATTCTCATCTCCTTAAAGTGCCCGCCCTCCCTTTGTGTTGGTCCTCGGGACCTAGACTCATGGCCTCTTGTTCAGCACTGTGCCTCTTGGGCTCTGCTCTTTGGGCTAGTTTTGTCTTTTCAAGAATGTCATGTGAATGGACTCACAGCATACAGCCTTTTGAGACTGGCTTTTTTCTTTCAGCATGTAATTCCTTTGAGATCCATTCAAGTTGCGTGGATCAATAGTGCCTTCCTTTGTACTGCTGAGCAGTATTCCACAGTGTGGGTGCCCTCACGTGGTCTCAGCATTCACCCGATGAAGGACAGTGTGGTTTTCCCACTTTGGGGCTGTTACAGATAAAGCTCATTTGAGCAATTGTGTGCAGGTTTTTGTGTGAACACAGATTTTGGGAGGATAAGTATCCAGGGTTGATTGCTAGATTGTATGGGAAGTGTATGTTCAGTTTTTTTTTTTTTTTTTTTAAGAAAATAAACCGTTTTCCACAGTGGCTGTACCATTTTACATTCTCACCCGCAATGTAGGAGAGATTTAATTTCTCTTTATCTTTGCCAGTATTTGGTGTTGTCACTGTCTTTTACTTTAGCTTTTGTAATAGGTGTGAAGTGATGTCTCTCTTGTGACCTTAAATTCGTTCCCGTCGGCTGAGCTGTGATGCTGTGCGTCTTGCTGTGCCCTCCTGTCTCGTGCTCATTTGCTATCTGTCCGTCCTCTTCGGTGAAATGGCCTGTCGTCTGCCCATTTTTGAACTGGATTTCCTGTCTTGAGTTTTGAGAGTTTTTTTAAAAATAAATTCTAGATATGAGTTCTTTGTCAAGTACATGGTTTGGAAATATTTCTCCCCGTCTGTAGGTTCTTTCACAGAGCAGAGAGATAGATTTTGATGGATTCCCATTTATCAGTTGTTTTTTGTTTGTTTGTTTGTTTGTTTGTTTGTTTTATGGATCACCAAGCCCTGTGTCCAGAAAGTTTTATAATTTTATGTTTTTTGTTTAGATCTGGTATGCATTTTTACTTGATTTTTGTATAAGGTTTAGGTTGGGGTTTATTGTTATGTTTGGATGTGTGTCCATCTGTTTCAGTGCCATCTGTTGAGAAGACTGTCCCCTGTCCAATTAACAGCCTTTTCACTTTTGTCAAAAATTAAATGACCATATCTGTATGGGTCTATTTCTGGACTTTCTATTCTGTTCCACTGATTTGTGTACTTACCCTTTTGCCAATACCTCACTCTTGTGATTATCGGGGGGTGTGATTCCTCTATCATTTTTCTTTTTAAAATTGTTTTGGCTTTCGTAGTTCCTTTAATTTGCCATATAAATTTTAGAATCAGTTTGTCTATAGCTACAAAAAAAACCCTACTGGGATTTTGATGGGTAGTGCACACAATCTAAAGCGCAGTTTGGGGAGAACTGACATCTTCACTGTGTTGCGCCCCGGTTCATGACCACAGTGTGTCTCTTCATCTAGTTAGTTCTTCTAGACGTCCTGTAGTTTTTTGTTGTTTTTTTGTTTTTATTCTTACCTGAGGATGTTTACTGATTTCAGAGAGAGAGGGAGGGGGTGGAAAGGGAAGGGAGAGAGAGAGAAATCGATGTGAGAGAGAAACTTCAATCACTTGCCTCCCATACATGCCCTGACTGGGACCAGGGATCGAACCCCCAACCTAGGTATGTACCTACGGAATTGAACCCGAAATCTTTTGGTGCGTGGGATGATGCTCCAACCAACTGAGATACCTGGCCAGGGCAGTGTTTTGTAGTTTTCAGTATACATATCCTCTATATGTTTTGTTAGATTTATAGCTAAATGTTCCGTTTCTTGAGTAGCCAGTATAAAAGGTAATATAAATGCTTTGATTTTCATTTGTGCCTTGCCGTGTGCTGCACTGGCCAGGACTTCCAGTGCAGTGTGCTCTAGGAGGGGCGAGAGTAGGTGTGCTGGCTTGGACCCTGCTGGGGAGAGGAGCCGTCAGTCCTAGGCCCTGATGATGGCGTAGGTATCTTGTAGACGCTGTTTATCAAGTTAAGAAGATTCTGTTTTCACCATGACTGGTTTGGCTCAGTGGTTAGAGTGTCAGCCTGTGGACCAAAGAGTTGCGGGTTCGATTCCAGTCAAGGGCACATACCTCAGTTGCGGTTCATCCCTCGTGCGGGAGGCAACCAGTCAGTGTGTCTCTCTCACATTGATGTTTCTCTCTCTCTCTCCCCCTCCCTCCCACTCTATCTGAAGATAAATAGAAAAATGTCCTCGGGTGAGGAATGAAGAAAAAAAAAGAAGGTTCTGTTCTCATCTTTGTGTGAGAGAATTTTTTTTTTATCTTCACCTGAGGACATTTTTCCATGTTTTGTTCAGATAGATAGAGAGGGAGGGAGGGAGGGAGGGAGGGAGAGAGAGAGAGAGAGAGAGAGAGAGAAACATCGACGTGAAAGGGACACATCGAGTGGCTGCCACCCACACGATCCAACCAGGGCCGGGGACAAATTGTAACCGAGGTACGTGCCCTTAGCGGGAACCGAACCCGGGTCTCTCTGGACCGCAGGCCGACGCTCTAACCGCTGAGCCAAACCAGCCAGGGCTTTATGAGAGAATTTTTATCCTAAATGGTTGTCGACTTTTGTTAAATGCATTGTATACACCAGGTGGATAGAAACATGTGGTTCTTCTGTTGCTATGGTAACGTGGTGGATTATTGTGGTTATCAAACCTTGGATCGGCCTTGCCTTCCTGGAGTGAATCCCACTGACGGTGACGTCTCACTCTTGTCACATGGCTCTGGGTGTGTTTGCTGGGATGTTGTTGAGGATTTGTGCCTGTGTCCATGAGGTATGTTGGGATGTGATTGGGGGGATGTTTGCTTGTTGTTGTTTTGGGCGCTGTCTTTGGTTTTGGTATCATGGTAATACTGGTCTCATAAAAGAAGTTGAGAAGTATTTTCTCTTTTTGGAAGATATTGTGTAGATTTATTGATCTTTTTGAAGAACTACTTTTGATTTCATGGTGTTTTTTCTTCATTGTTTACCTTTCAATTTTATTGATTTCTGCTTTATCATTTCTTTCCTTCCAATTGCTTTAGATTTATTTTGTTCTTCTTTTTCTAGACTCTTAAGGAAGACACTTAGGATTTAAGACCTTTCTTTTTTCTAATTTTAGCATTTCATGTTATAAACTTCCCTCTACATACTACATTACCTGTATGCCACAACTTTTAATGTTGTATTTTCATTCAGTTCAAAATATTTTCTGATTTTCCTCAAGGCTTCCTCTTTGACTTGTATATTATTTATAAATATATTGAGTTCCAAGCCTTCTGTGGGTTGGGGTTCCTATTTCAACATTTTTGCTGTACAGTTTGAAGTCAGCACAGCCCGAAATGCACAGTGGGCCCAAGGTTGGGCAAAGAGCCCTGGAAGCTCTTTTATTCTGGTTCTAGAAGCAACGGGAGGGGTCTTCTGACACCCAGAGAGAAGGGAAGACATTCCTTTCTGTTCACCTTTTCTCTTGCTCCCAGCCCCAAGCAATCTTAGGGTGGCAGCAACGGGTGGCAGGCGCCTGTGATCACGAGAGGGTGAATGTCCTCTCCACCGGGGGAAGCTGTGGTCCCAGGAGAGTGAGGAGAAGACCCCAATGCTTTGTCATCTCTGTGCTCCACTGCAGAGCTGCAGAAAGTGTGCTGTGTAGTGGGGTGACAAAAGTCCTAGCTTTCTGGCCAGAGGACCACAGTGGGAAGGTTCTAGACATGACATTGGAAAGTACCAGGGACACCACAGAAACTGAGGTGCTCAGAAAAGCAACCCCATAAAGTTGTTTCTCAGCTCCCACCTTGCCTCCAAGTTGGGAGGCAGATCTGACTCAAAACAGCACACGAAAACTTCAAGACCTGAGCTGTCGGGAACCACCACCCCAAAGCCGATTCTGGCTGGAGAGCGGCACATGCACAGGGCAGGGTCGGGTGGCCAGGCCAGGAGCTGTGGTCGGGGCGGGACGGATTCACTGCTGGTTTGCTCTTTAGATTCTGGCCTTCTTCCCCAACTGGCCTGCTATGTTTACTTCTCAGAGGCCCCAAGGAGTTGCTTTGTGCCTTCTGCCCAGGCTTTGGAGCTGTGTTTGGTGGGAGAGGCAGGGCTGTGTGTTCCTGTCCCTCCTCTCCAGACCAGATGCTTTAAGATGGACATTTCATGGCCAGTCAGTGGGACACACTGTGGCCTGTGATGCATACACTGGTGGGCTCCTGGGAGTAGGCATTCGCTGACGGGCTTTTTGCTTGGCTTTTCAGGAGACCCCAACCAAAGAGCTGGGACACTGTGGAGCAGAAGCGCGTGGTCCCGAGCGGAGCAGCCCAGCACTGTCATCTGGTTCCCCCTACCTGAGCAGGTGCATAAATTCCGAAAGTTCAACCGACGAAGAAGGTATTTTACTTCACAGATGGGTTTTAAAAGAAACTAAAAAGTACGTTATGAATGTAAACTTTTTGAGGATAACTTCACTGTTGCTGTAAATAGCCCTGGGACACACGGGAGCAGCTTCGCCACCTGTCTGGCGGAGTCCTGTTTGCTGACCTGCAGAGTGCACCTGTGTGCTCGCTCTGTTCTTTATCACGCACTGATCACAGCAGAGTGATGTCTCATTCTGTGCTTGTAGGTGGAGGCTTTGAATGGGATGACGACTTCTCCTCAGACCCTTTTATGTCAAAGACAACGAGTAACCTTCTTAGTTCCAAGCCGTCTCTGCAGACTTCAAAGTACTTTTCTCCACCGCCACCGCCCCGGAGCACAGAGCAGAGCTGGGCCCACGCAGCGCCGTACTCCAGGTTTTCCATCTCTCCTGCCAACATCGCCAGCTTTTCTCTCACACACCTGACCGACTCGGACATCGAGCCAGGAGGTGAGGGGGTGCTGGGGGTCGGCCTGGGAGACCTGTCTCTCTGGACTTGAATGCATTTCATCTGCTGCTTTCCTGGCTGGGTAGATTATAAACAATTTTTGTTTTTTGTTTGTTTTTTTTTTTAGTCCTCACCCGAGGACATTTTTTGATATTTTTGTTCAGGTAGAGTGGGAGGGAGAGAGAGGAACAGAGAGAGAGAGAGAGAAACATCGACGTGAAAGGGACACATCGAGTGGCTGCCACCCACACGACCCAACCAGGGCCGGGGACAAACCGCAACCAAGGTACGTGCCCTTAGCGGGAGCCGAACCCGGGTCTCTCCAGACCGCAGACCGACGCTCTAACCGCTGAGCCAAACTGGCCAGGGCAGTTTTTGTTTTTTGAACCCTCTCCCGAGGACATTTTCCCATATTTTGTTCAGATAGAGTGGGAGGGAGGGAGGGAGAGAGAGAGGGAGAGAGAGAGAAACATCGATGTGAAAGGGACACATCGAGTGGCTGCCTCCTGCACGACCCAACCAGGGCCGGGGACAAACTGCAACCGAGGTACGTGCCCTTAGCAGGAACCGAACCCGGGTCTCACTGGACCACAGGCCGACGCGCTCACCGCTGAGCCAAACCGGCCAGAGCCATAAATAGTTCTTTATAAAGCTCTCGCCATCTTGACAATGGTTTCGGGGCCCCACTCCACCCTTCTGGGCGCTGTCACTCCACGAGCTCGGTGCTGCTTGCAGGCGCCCCTCGCTGCCCTGCTGGGCTGGGCGGCCTGGGCAGGCAGGACGTGCCCCGTGTGTGGGCCAGCTCTTCTCCCTTCTGCTTTTGCTCCTAGCCCCTCTCACGTCTCCAGTTCTTCCTCCCCTACAAGCAGCTCTTCAGAAAGCTGTGCTTTGAAGAACACTTGGCCCCGGTTTTGGGATTGAGCCCAAATGCGCCCTGTTTTTTCCCAGGATTGTTGATTTTGCCATTAAGTCTTGGTCTTCATGTGATACCAGAGGGCCAGGTGGGAAGTCATGGGCAGGGCACATTTGAAGTCGTATTATCTGAACATATGGACCTTTTTTTCCCCATAACTAGATTGGAGGATAAATGTTAAGAGGTACATTTTTTTTTTTTTGAAGTTTGCAGATCAAATAATAACTAGGAAATATAAAGAGCTTTTGTTTGTGTTTGTGCTGTGCTTACTTGTGCCGATTAGATAATGTGCATGACCTAGCACTCTGTCAGAGGGACAGATGTGTGCCGATCAGAGCTGATTTGCTCCTGTGCCCTCGGCCTTGACATTGACCCAGCGTGGGAGCTGAGCAGATGTGTCTGCGAGTCTGGCGAGGCTGCGGCCCCGGGAAGAACGCACGGGCTCGGCAGGTGGTGCTGTCCAGACTGTTCTTACCTGGCGGTCCTTTGCTTGCTCTCTCCCACATAGGAAGCAGTGAAGATGGAGAGAAAGACTAAGTGGATGCTTCCCCGGGGCGGTGGCTCTGTGCTGCCTGTCGAGCAACGCCACCCATGCGACATCTGCTGAGACTCAGGAGGTGGAGAGGGAGCCGGCACTGGTGCCCACGCAGGAAGCCCGTCCGCGCAGGGAGCCGCGCTCCTGCAGCCGCTCTCACCCACTGGGGACACTCGGCTCCAGTCGTTCTCGGGGAGGGCCGGCCCTGCTCGGTCGTGGGCAGCTGTGGACTCCCGGTTGTTTCTGGTTTCCACGCAAGGTGTTCTCTGCGTCCACGTGTGCGTCCTGTCTGCGCACAGGGACCCAGAGGATGCATGATGGGACTTGGCACCAGTGAGCCATATTTATTATTTTTAAAGAAATCACGAATTGCTTTCTGTAATTGCACTGTGGATAAATGTTCTAAGAGTCCCTGATACTGTACAGAATCTTAAGTTATTCAAGGAAAATAAGGCTGGTCAAGCTGGTGCTACCCACTAGTTTGATTTTTTTCTGTTGTATAGTTTGTTTGCTCTGCATGGTACTTGTAAAGCTGAAAAATTTTGAGTGTTGTGCAGTCCTTAGAACTGTCGGAATTGTACCTGCGGCTCTTCCGTGAACGACAGCGATTCCGAGTGTCCGTGTCCTCACAGGGAGTATTTTTGATGGGTCTCAAAAGATGGCTCTTTTGTCAATGGACTGAAACCCATGTTGTCTCTTCTTTATGAGGTGGCTTCCCTGTAGTGGACGGGGCTTCTCTAGGAGTTGGGGGCCTTGCAGTCTCTCTGTGTGGCCCTCCTGCACCCCCCTTGGCAAAAATCAGCAGGTGGCAACCCCAGAACTGAGCGGAGCGTGGCCCGGAGGCACTTCCCTCCAGGCTGCGATGCCCTCCGCTCGACACCTTCTGCTTGATTTTTAGAAGCGCGGACTGCTGTGGCTCCCTGTCCTTGGAACTCCTTCCTCAGAAAGGTGAGGGACTCGGAGGGAGGGGCTGCTCCACGGGGGGCTCTGGTAGCACAGAGGAGTGGGAGCGATTCTGTTTATTAAAGCTCAGCCTCGGGTGTTGAGCTCTAGAAACCCCCAATGCTGAATTTCCCCCTCAGAACCACTCGGAGTCATGTCAAGTCCAGACGTGGCTGATGTCTGCAGCCAAGGAGATGCTCTGAGGAAGGAGGGACAAGGGACAGCGGCGGAGCCTCCGCAGCCGGCATGTCCTAGCCGGGCAGCCCTGTGTGGCCGCCCACACGGACGCCGCCCGGCGGCGCACCTGCACTGACCCTCCCTTCTGCATCACCACTGAGCTCTGCCCCTGCTTGGAAAGTGGCTGAGCATTACCGGCACAACCTCAGAATGCTGGTGACCTCTCTGCAGCCCTGGAGCCCTGCTTTGACATCGGGGCGTTCCCAGGGGCCAGAGCAGTGCTGTGCTGAGGGAGGCTCGCCGTGTCCGTCCTGAAGTCAGGTCTGCAGTCCCCAGGGGCTGGCCCTTCCCCAGCTGTCTCCGGTGCTGCTGTGCTCTCCCCACACCAGCTGACCCCAGGCGGACTCCAGCCCAGGTGGGGCTGCGTGACACAGTCACAGGCTCAGTCCTAGGGGGGATGCGATGTATATACTGGCAAGAGTTTCCGGGGTAAACACTAACCTTTATTACCAATTCCGGTTCGCTCCACTAACTTTTTATACTAGCAATAACTTTCCAGAGCAAGAAAACTCAGAGTGGAGAAAGAGCCCCTGTACTCTCCACCTGCGGTGAGCGTGGGGCAGCACGGAGCGGGGTGCGGAGCACTACCAGGAGCCGGACCCTGTGTGTGCACTTTGAGAAAAAGTTAACAGGGCATTAGAAGGTGATTTGCCAAAATTGCCAAACTTTGAATTTCTTACCATGGAGACTTCCTGAATTTTTACGTCTAACTACCAGCTTGGTTTAGAGAGAAATAAGGCGATTATACTAGTTTTTTCAAAGTATAGGATTAAGGGGTTCAGATTTAACGACTAAAATCAAGCTTATCCATAGAATATATAGTCTTATACTGTCAGCCCAGGCTAAATTTGATATTTTGGGGTTGTCCATTTTTCACTATGGTTATAAGGGGATTTTAACAACGTAATTCCCATCTTAATTTAAGTCTGTGTTGCTCTCATAATTAATTGCCAAAAAAGGCATTTTATACATTGAATTGGGGGAGGGGGTTGGAGTAGATCTTACTGTGGGGTTGCATGGTGGGGAAGATTTTATATTTACAGTAAACATGTGCGTGAACATGTTCTTTTGAAATCTCAAGCAATACACAGGAAATAAATTATGTACATTAAAATTTTCAGTCCATTATTGAAATGTCAGCATGTGCTTTGTCATTTGATTCTGGTTTGTTTTTGTTTTGTTTTGTTTTGTTTTACTTTATTAACTTGTTTACCAGTAGTGGGTTTTCAAGCAGTACTTGCGCTACTAAGTTATGCAGTGAAATAAATCAGTGGATTCTCTAGGTAATATGGATGAGGTTTGAAATACCTGGCTCACAATATTTCCTGGCCTCTCTCGGAATCAATGATCAGGTTTTAATTAGTCCTACTTCAGTGGAGTTTACATACTTTAAATCCCACAATACAATAATCTAACCTTCACTTCCTTCCTAGCTAGATGTTAATTTGTATTATCAAACGACTCTGTTGTAAGTCAGAAAGAGAAATGTAGAAAAGGAGTTCTCCAAATCCTTCTGAAGCTTGAACTGTGGTCTGGGGAAGAAGCCATTCATCTGAAGGGTGAAGTTCAACAAAGCTGAATTGAAAACAGACGTTCTATTTTTAAATGTACAGGTGATTGTTGCTATAAAAATGGGTTTATCTAAGACACATCTTTGTATGTCTTGCTGCCATAAAACGCCTTTACAAACCTTTCTTAGTATTATTTTTCATAGGGTGTGTGTAGGGTTAATGACTTGCTGCCTGTTCGCTCTGAGGGCCCAGGTGTTTTCTTGGACGCAGCTGGCACCTGAGAATTTCAGACGTGAACCCCGAGTCAGGCTCCCAGTGTCGGGCTTCAGGACGTCAGCCTCGCGAGAAGTAGCCTTAGAACTAGAATGGCTGTACGGAGTTACTGCAGATCTAAATCTCAAAACCAATTTTCCTAAGTCGTCATGGGATTGGCTCAGTTTTGACCATTAAATAAGAAAGTTCTCTTGAGTGTATAAGTAAATTCTTAAGGATGTGTTGACAGTATTGAGTTACCAACAGCCTGTTACTGGAGTGGCTTGGACATGTCTGAGTTCAAGCTCACACAGCACAGGCCTAGTAGGTCTTAATGGACCTGCAATCCACTGTTTCATTCCGTCCACAGGGGGACCCGGGGGTCAGTCACACCGTGAGGTCTCCCTGTTGTACTTTAACACAGTCATAAGAGTTATATTCATGGCAATATAACAGTTAATGAACTTTCAGTTTAAATTGTGTACATTTTTAAATTGTAAGATTTTTACTGTATATTGATGCATAGTGTGATTCAATAAATTGCTTGTAATTTAAAAACTATTTAATATTCAAAATAAATATAGTTATATATTTATAAACTCTGTTGCTGCGTTTATTCTGTGTTTTGAGCACTGAAGTCCTAGGGTGGATGGCCTGGCACCGCCCTGGTCTTGAGATTCCCTTGTCCACGACAGACCTAAATCCCCACATCCCCGAGGACGCTCAGATTGTAGAGACTGGAAAACCACACTTTTATGTAGTGTTTGTGCCTTAAAGTGCATCTGTAAGCCGGATCCTTTGCACTCGGTGCGTTTCAGAAGCATTTTAATTCCTGAGGTCCAGCATCAACCGAGCTCTAAGCCAAGAGGCTAATTAGCTCAAAACCAAGCTTTCTATGCCCTGAGTGGACCTCGCCCTGCATTGTCCTGTCCTTGCTGCCGTGGCCCCAGCTGCCAGGAGCCCCCTAACAGGCCCTTACCCACACTGACAACGCCAGGCCGCAGCCCAGGTTACAAGGACTCCGTGTGACGCCCCCCTCCCACCTTCCGAGATGCCCAAGACAGGCCGCCAGCGACAGTGCTGACCCTGGTCCTGGGGGTGGGAGTCCAGGCTCACGGGCCACCGACTGCAGGCTCATGCGCTTCAGGATCGTCCTGGCAGCCCCCAAAGAAGCCCTGGGCCAGATGCTTCTACTGTGCTCGTAAGTGGTGAGGAACCGGAGGCAGGGCGCCGTTAAGCAAAGCGCGCGGGTGGCAGAGCCGGGTTTGAGCCCAAGCTGCCCGCCTGCGGCCCCTGGGACCTAGAACCGACGACCAGCTGTTTCCCGGTGACGCGCGCAGGCTGCCGCCCAGGTGATCCGTGGGCAGGGCCCCGCCCACTCGCACCTGGACCGGTGCGGGGGCCGTGGGGGTGTGGGGTGCCCCAGAGCCGCGGGGCGCCGCCGGGTTCGCCGGAACTGCCCTTCGGGGTCGTGCACCGCCGCGACCAGCATGATTAAAAACGGCTCCTCCGCGGATTCGGACTGGGCCTGCGTGCTGAGCCTCAACCCCCGTGTCGGGGCGGCGGCCAGGTGCCGGCCGGGCGGCCTCTCCGCGGCCAGGGCTCCGCCGCGAGGAGCGGGGTGCAGCCCGCCGGTCCTCAGGTGCGCGCCCCGCCCCCGCGGGCACCGCCTCCGCCCAGGCCCCGCCCCGTGGGCTCATTTACATGTGGCCGGGGCCCCGCCTGGGGCGGCTAAAGCTACGTGTCCTTGTCCCCCGTGGACAGCCCGGGCGCGTGCGGTCCGGATCCCCAGGTAATGCGGTAGGGTTGGGCGGCCGGCGGAGCGGTGGGGAGAGGACCCAGGGTCAGGACCAGGTGGGTTCTGGAGACAAACCCGGGTGGGACAAACCTGGGCCTGGAGCCCTGCCTGGGACCCTCCACGGGTTAGCCTGGGGGACTGCTGCAGGCTCTGGCCGCTGTCGACCTCTACTGACCCCTGTCCACTGCAGTTCTGGCCCCAACGTTGTCCTTGCATGTGACGCCCAGCGGGGCAGCACGGGCAGTGTGGTGGCCGGAATCGGTGCCCGTCCATCAGGGCCAACGGGAGGCACTGCAGCCTCAGGCAGAGGCGCTGCCCCGAGCTAGGACGGCGCCACAGCGCAGGGTGGCCTGAGCAAATTGTCCAAGGCCACCTAGATTCAGGAGGCACTGGGGGCCAGTAAGAAGCATGGGACCAGAGAAAAGTCCAGGGGTCAGGACGCCTCACCCAGGGGGAGAGAGACCCCGGGGTCACTGTGCACCAAGCAGTCAGCGGGGACGCAGCCGTGGGTAGTTGCACTGAGTGTCCACTGGCTGTTCTCAGTGTCCACCGGCCTGCGGAGTGACCACGGGGTGGCCTGTGTTCTAGATTCCAGTTCCAAAGGCCCCCTCAGAGCTGCCACGACCTGGGACAACCAGTCTGGAGCCATGAAGACCAAGAACCGGCCCCCCAGGCGCCGGGTGCCCCCGCAGAACACAGAGGGCAGCCCAGGGGATCAGTCCCCCGACAGGCCCCAGCCGAGCTCTGGGGCCCAGATGGCCAAGGGTCTGCGGAGCAGGACAGTGCGCGCGCAGGGGGCGCGCGCCGAGGGCGGGCGCAGGCGGCCCGGGCTCTCGGGGCCGGCGGGCCGGCGGGACAGGCGGGAGAGCAGCGTCCAGCGGCGGCTGGAGAGCAACGAGCGGGAGCGGCAGCGCATGCACACGCTGAACAACGCCTTCCAGGCGCTGCGCGAGGTCATCCCGCACGTGCGCGCCGACAAGAAGCTCTCCAAGATCGAGACCCTCACGCTGGCCAAGAACTACATCAAGTCGCTGACAGCCACCATCCTGACCATGTCCAGCGGTCGCCTTCCGGGCCTGGAGGGGCCTGGCCCTAAGCTCTACCAACACTACCAGCAGCAGCAGGCGGCTGGGGGCACACTGGGTGCCACCGAGGCTCAGCCCGAGGGCCACCTGCAGAAGTACTCCACACAGATCCACAGCTTCCGAGAGGGCTCCTAGCGCCTCGCCTGGTCCCCTCCAGAGCCCCAGACTCGTGGTAACACCCCACGTGGCCGTGGCCCCAGAGGCTTCGTTTTCCCTGAACACCCAGCTGCCTTTTCTGGAGCACATCCTGGCCCCCAGGGGACAAGACCTGGCTGAGGCCATGGCCCTGGGTGGCATGAGGCCCAAATCTCCGTGTAGGTCCCAGGACCTGCTTCTCAGTGGACGACACAGGAGGTGACAGGCCTTTGTAAGTAAATCCTCTTCACTCCTGGCTCCCTCCTGAAGCCAGGGAGGTTCCAGGAAAAGGTATAATTGGTAAGTTTCCCCAGTTACTCCTGAAGCCCAGGCCCAAGGAGGGACCTCCTCCAACCTGCATCAACGTCTCCTCATTCGGGGTAAACTGAGGCACAGAGCAAGCAAAGCTCACCGTCACTCGGGCAGTGTGGCTGAGCCAACGTGGTTGAAGCGTCTAGTTCGGCGTCAGATAGAACCCTGATCAGATGGCCTCAAATTAATTCTAAGGGGAATCGTACAGGTGCTGGAGGGGCTGGGATATCCTCCCGCCTCTTCCTGCGTTGGGGGCTTCTGACTGTGGAGGGGCTGAGCCGGGTCAGAGGGTCTGTGGCGTGGTGCTGAGACAGGACGGGAGAGCGGACACTGGACCCTGGTTCCGAGTGGCTGGGACTCTCAGCCCGGCCCTTTAGGGAAGGGCGTGTGTCTCTAGGCCTTGCTTGGGTCTCACCCAGGGTTGCTGCTCATTGTCATAATTGTCACTGACTGGGTGGTCTGACAAGACTTTAGAATGTTGGGTCTTGGTTGGGGTTGGGGGCCCTGCGGGACTCTCTGCAAGCAGGAGTCTGGGGTGCAAGAGCTCCCCTCCCCCACCTGGTGCCCTCAAAGGCGGGACTGGCATCTTGGCAGGTGTGCGCAGCCTGGGGCCAAGCTTCCTTCTGTGGGATTCCTGCCCTGCTGGCTTCGACAGGCTTGGCGACTTTGCTCCCTCCTGGCTGGCATCTCCCCTCCCTTGTCCTTCTGCCCACAGCCAGCATGTGCAGGGGACAGGGCCCTTGGCTGCCTCAGGCAGGAACCGCAGTGACAGGGGCTGTGGAGAGGGCGGTGCTGTGCCCAGAGCTCTCCTGGTGAGTGGGGGCTGGGCTGGGAGTGGGGCTGTCCCAGCAGAGGACATGTCCCTCATGCGTGGCCTCTGTCCCAACCCTGGTAGTCCTGACCCAGCCTTTTAATGCATTTGTGGGCTGTGTGTCAGCCCTGGCAGCATCGAGGACAGCAGGTGGCGCCCCTCAGCACAGCTTACCTGGTCAGATGCTGGCCAGGCCCTCCCCAGGCCCTAACGCAGGCCGCTCTGAAAGGTGGCCCTCATCTGGTCCCAGAACCACTGGCCCAGCTGCCCTTCAGTGTGGGTCAGGTGGGGGCCCTCAGGCGTAGCTACTCGGGAAGGTCAGTGGTGGTCGGGACGAGCCGCCAATGCGAGCTGAGGTCGAGAGCGGCTCTGAGCTCAGGAAGATGGGGTCCGTGCAACCCCGCTGTGGGTGGCCTGCCGGCTGAACACAGAAAGGTGAGGCCTGGCAACCTGCAGGCTGTCGTTCTGGCCGAGCCAAGGCCAGAGCAGGGCTCAGCACGCCCCTGAACTTGCCGAGTGAACCAACGCACAGCCAAAGGCACAGCGAGGGGCGCCCAGCAGAACTCTCCGCCCAGGAGGGCATGCCTGGTGACTGGGGTGGCAGGAGGGCCTGGGAGTCACCACCTTGAGGATGACGGCTGTGGAGGCTCTTGCTCTTTGTCACTTGTACCTGCACCTCCTGTGCTTCCCGGAGGGTGACGTGGGCTCAGATGTCCAGTCCTGCTTCCCCCGAGGCTGGAGGGCATCCGCACACTCTGTGGCCACATCATGATGGTCTCAGTCCCGCTTTTGGGGGTGTTAAATATGGGGGGAGTGAGGAAACAGGTCGGGTGACAGGCTGGTGAGGCCTGCTGCTGCTGAGTCTGCTCCCTCGACGCTCGTCATGCACCCCAAGTCCAGGGGAATCACCTGTCTCGGGAGGAGCCCTAATTGCAGAGACCCTCATGCGTCCAGCCCTGGTCGCCTGGCCCCCACCTGGGCCCCGGACCTGCCTGCAGACCAGACCTCTGAGTAAGCTCCAGAGGCGGGGAGCCCATCCAGTGAGCAGAGGAACCGGAACTTCGACTTTCTGCCTGGGAATCCCATCCCCTTGGGACTGAACGGCCAGTGCCCCAGCTAATTGTGTGAAATGTTTCTTAAATGACCCAAATTTGCTCTTTATTTTTCCTAATGGCCCCTTCCAAATACTCATGAAATCGATGCTGCGTCACAAAATGAAAATAAAAGATTTCACGACAATCTGTAGTCCAGCATGGGGAACTGCGTGTTTTCATCGTAAGGTAGCAGGGAAAAAAAAAAAAAAAAGTCTGGTCATTTACACTCTGGCGTACGTTTTTATTGAATAAAGTATCTGGGAATCGAGATGGCTCCGTGATACTGAGCAGGTAAACAGTTGGTGCTCAGTGGTGAGAGGACACAGTGTCCCCAGAGAAAGGGCAGGCGAGACCAGCTAGAGTCGCAGCAAAAGGACAGGTGGCCGCCACAGAATTAACCCGTGACGCCCACGCAGAAAACTTGACGCAGGGATGGAGACAGACAAGGGACCGTGAACCCCACACAGTCCAGTTGGGCCCTGTGCCCAGACTCACACCGCGTGGTCCCACCTGCAAATGCAGAGACTGCTGGCTCCCTCACATGTCCCTTGGGAGGGCACCCCAAAGGAGGCACTGAGCCTCCGGCTGTGCGTGTGGGGGAAGCTCCCAGGCAAAGTGTCTGGTTGTAGGAAGCAAATCTGAGACTTCACCCAATGGGGCGTCATCGGATAAAAAGCAGCCCAGAAGCTGTAGAACAGGAGCGGGCTTGGGAGGTGCCTTTCTACCGGCCTGCTGGGTTTTGGCCTCCATCCCAGCCCCTCCCCGCACAACATGATCAGAAGTAAAAGATGCCCCGGCCCCTGACCACCTCTGGAGAGGGGTCAGCCGAAGCACCCCGACAGTTCCTCCCAGCCACAGGGTGGCCCCTCGGGCCTCTGTCCACCCACGGGGCCCACCCCACCTGGCGGAAACGGTCCCCTCCAGCGTTTATTTCCAACCCGCCAACTCCTTGACTCGGAATCGGCCCCCATCTGAGTCCTGCCCTGAGAAATGATCACAGACGCCAGGGGCCGAGCCCCACAGCCTTTTCTGTTTGGGGAGGTCTGGGGCCCAGGGCTCCTTTGCGGGCTCTGCTTCCCCGGGAGCCAGCCTTCCTGGAAGGTCCCCGTCCTGGAGAGACAGGAGGCAGGGGGAATGGGTGGGCGGGAGGGGCAGGGTGAGGGCCCCATCCACACTCCACACCCAGCGCCCTCCTCGCTGACAGGGACAGTGTGGGGAGCGCCCCCAAGGCTTCACATTTGCGGGCTGCTCTGGCACCACGGAGGCTGTGACCTCGGCCAGTTCCCTCCGGCCGCGGCCAGGATCCACGTTTTAGCACAGAACAGCTCACTGCGAGGGGAAGGCTGGTGAATCGGCGTCGTGGATCCTTCCCACTGGGCACCGCACGATCCTTCCCACTGGGCACCGCACGTGCCTCCGGTGAGGGAGGCGGCTTCAGCAGCACACAGGGCCCACGGCCTCCTGCGGGGCACTGGCCACACTCGAGGGCCCACTGGGGAGGCCCTGCTCTCCAGATGTCTCCTGGGATGCGCTCTTGGAGGCCCTGGTGGCATTGGCCCGGATGGAGATGTGATCCCAGCCCCCCTGGAAGGAGAGAGCCACATCACTGGGGTGGTAAGGGGTCAAGGGGCAGGGCCCATCCTCCCAGATGGCTGGGGCCCAAGGACCCCTGAGGGACTCTGCCCGGGTCTCCCAACACCAGGCCAGGTCCCAGCCGCCCCCGCGGCCAGCTTGCTCACCCCGATGCCGTAGTCCCAGCCCTGCCCCTTGGGCTCCAGGGGCTGCACGCCTGTGCGGTGGCACACGGTTCCCCGGCTGAGGCTGTGGCTCCCCTGGACTTTGTTGGCGATGACCCAGACCTAGAACACAGAGCGGCTGCAGGCCCGGCCCTGGCTGAGGTGGCCCCGTGGGGTGGCGGCGGGGAGACCAGAGCCAAAACCCGAGCCCCTCAGTCCCCGACTCAAGCGAGCGTCTGCCCTCTGTCCCCTGGGCACCCAGACCTGGTCCAGGGGCCCCACGGACACTCGGCGCACGTTGTTGGACACATGTTCCCAGCTGGAGCCCTGTGGGTAGCTGGGTGTGACCCCCTGGCGGTACCACAGGTTTCCTGGGGAGAGAAGGGTGCGACCTCGGGTGAGGCCCAGGGGGTCGGGACCCACTGACGGGTCTGCGGAGCCGGGGGTCTGACCACCCTCCCTCTGCGTCCCCACACCTGCTGGGGCTTCGACAACCCACAGCTAGAGAGGAGCCCAGGGGAGCCAGCTCCGCCCTCCCCCACTCAGCGCCACCTGCGCCACGGGGCTGGCACCCTGGTCTGCTCTCTACGCATGAGAAGCGGAGGACAAGGAATTCTTTACACAGATAGAGGATGGGTCCCCGGATCCCTGTCCTCCCCTCACCCTGCTCAGCGGGACAGCTGCACAAGGGCAAAGGGAGCCGGGACCAGGTGCCTGGGGCAGCGCCACGTGGCCACCTCTGCCAGCCCCCAGCGCAGCCCCGTTGTGCGGCATCACCCAGGCCTTGGCACTGTGCCCTCTGACCCAGGCCCGGGCAGGGCTGCCCAGCTGTGGGGGCTGCTGTCCCAACCCTGGGGAACGTGGGGGAGGGACCTCCTTGGAGGCTGACCTTGGGCTGGGTAGGCTGTCGTGGTGTCTTATGAAGGTCTTGTGTCAGGGACCCGGGGGCTGGTGAGGGTCTCATCCCATTCGGGTGCTCAGGGAACCCCAAACCTCCCCTGGTGACCATGGGGGATCAGGAACAACTTGCCGTTGTCATCCACGGCACACACGGACGTCTGGCCCACGGACACCTGCTTCAGCCTCTGCTTGGGAGGCGACGGGATGTGGTACCAGCAGTCGCCTGCAACGGGAGGGCGGACCTGGTGGGCTGGCGGACACCAGCCCTGCGACCCCAGGGGCTGGGGGGCATGCGGCCTCCTCTGCAGCTCACGGGGGGTGCGGTGCGGGGTGCACGGCCTGTCCTGAGCTGACCCATGCCCTCCTGCCCTCCAACACCCTGGCCTCTCTGAAGGCCCAAAGGAGGCAGGGCCGGTTCCAGGTGGGGGAGGGGCTGACTTCACAGCCCCTGGCATGTAGGGGAGAGCCAGCCCTGCCCAAGCCCCTCGGCCCCGAGTGGAGGGCACAACATACCAGCCACCACCCATCTGTCTGTCCATCCCTGTGCCAGCCTCCCCCATGCTGGACACTGTCTAGACATCCAGCTAAGAACAAGCTGGCCTGGACTGCCCTCCCCAGGCCTGTCCCCTGATGGGCAGGACATGCAAAGCGCCCAAAAGTGCCATGACCAGCTGCCCTGGCAGGAGGCCGAGGACCTCGAAGAGCCGCTTCCAGGGGCAGGGGTAACTGCCCCGCCAGGCCCAGAGCACAGAGGGAGGGGCGTGGCCTCTGGGGACCTGGGCTCTGACCCAGCATCTGTCCACAGGCTGCTGCAGCAAACACCTGCCAAGCTGGTCTGCAAACTGGAGGCCTGGCCCCAGCCCCCTGCTGCTGGAGGTGCGTGCGGCCCGCTCGGACCAGTTCCATTCCTGGCGCAGCTTGGTGGCACCAAGCAGGCCCTCCTGCAGGGTGGCACTCACCGGCCGGCTGGGAGGGGGACACAGAGCCCCTGTAGAAGGCAGAGCCGTCCCTCGCCACGGCCCACACCTGGTAGTCGCCCCCGATGGAGACGGAGGCGAAGGGCTGGTCGGTGCCAACGTGAAGCCAGGAGGAGCCCTGGAGACCGAGCGAGGAGGGGAAACGTGGGCTGCTTGGGCCCCTCCTCTGCCGCCCCAGCCCCAGGACGCAGGAGCTGGCTCCTCACGCCAGCCTCATCCTCAGCTCCAACTGCCCAGAGCCTGGTGACCCCCGGGCAGGGCCAGGGAGGCCTGAACCTAGCCGAGAACCCCAGGAGTGACCACAGGGGGCAGCCCCGGTGTCCCCAGAGGCAGGGACTGGGGTGCTTACCGCGGGGTTGAGCTCAGACACACCCAGGCGGCACAGTACGTCGCCCTTGTCGCTGACAGCCCAGAGGGCGATGCTGTGCCCACTCTCGGTGGTGCCCGGGCTCTCGGGGATGATGGACACATCCCCGAGGGCAATGGGGGACACTTCCAGCCAAGGCCCGCTGGTCACCAGCTTGCATTTTCTGCAGGGTGGAGAAAGCACAGTCCTGGGCACCCAGACGCTACTGCCAGCCTGAGGCCACCGGCCCGACGGGGAGGCTGCAGGAGGCAGTCTCAGTGACCCGGGGAGGGCCAGGACCCCGCCGCCCACCCAGCACCTGCGTGGGCGCCCTTCCTGGATGGGTGGCCCCGCTCCCCACCCCTGCCCGCTTCCTGCCCCCAGCCAGGCCTCCTGTCCTGCCAGCCCGCTTCCAAGCGGAGGCTGCTATGACATTTCTCTTATTTGCTCTTGAAAGCAAACTCTTCAGAAATAAGAGAGCGTTGGGCGCCCCCAGGCACTTCCTGGGCTGACATTTACTTTGATTCTGTTTTCCCCTCCCCTCTGCCTCCCTGTTCCTTCCATTGGGACTGAGGTCAGAGGAGGGACGGTCTGGCCAGGGAGGAGCCGGTAGGAGGGGCCAGGCCACACCCCCCTGTTACCTTGTGCTCAGTCTTTACCTGGCCCAGCACCTTCTCCTGACAAAATCCCTCATGGTTTTGTACCCGTGATATGAGCTGCAAGAGGAAGACACAGATGAACTTGAGACTACTTTGTGGAAGTTTCTGGAAAGTCACAGCACACGTGCACACTCTCTCTGCTGTCCCAGGACGCGTGCTCATCCTTCAGATGCCTCCAGCCCAGCCAGGCCTCCCTGGGGCCAGGATGTGGCAGCTGCCCGACAGGTGGGCTCTAGCTAAGCGAGCGGACGTCTTGCCACCCCAGGCCTGACCAGGGCCCTTCTGGGAACAGTCAAACCGAGGGCCTGAGGCCTCTGACACCGGTCACCTCCCTGGGTTGGCTCAACAGCTGTGGCTCGGGCCCTGGCTGGGGCTCTCCTGGTTCCATCTTCATTCGAAGGTGACTCTGTACCGTGAAGACCTGCAGCCCCCCTGCCGGGACCGGCCCACCAGGCTTGTCAGCCGCTCTCCTGTCCCCGCCTCCCCAAAGAGCGCCGGCTCACTCCGGGCTTTGCTCAAGCTGCCCCTTCACCCCTTCACCTCCCTCATGTTGGGCCACCCTGGCTCCTCTCCTCGGGCCTGGCCAAAAGCTCCCCAAGGACTCCTTAGCCCTGTGCACCAGGTCCCCAGCTGGCCCGCCCACAACCCTGGCCCGAGGGTAGAGACAACCAGGCGTGGAGCAGCCGTGGCACCCTCCTGGGCCATCCTCGAGCCAGGTGTGCTGGCTGCGGCTCGCCTGGGCCCCCAGGCCTTTCTGGCCCCAGCCCTGAGGGAGCCCCCGGGGTCTGCCCTCAGCCAGGCCTGGAGGCTTGGGGCAGCGGGCAGGGGCTCTGCCTGGCAGGGTGGTGAGGCCAGTGCTGGGGAGGAGGGGCTGTCCGGACCACACACCCAGTCCTGCCTCTCAGGGCAGCCCTGTGAGCCCCCCCCAGAGAGACAGAGAGAGAGGGAGGTGCTTACGAAGGGAAGTCACTGGCGTACTGCCATCCCTCGGGGTCAGTGCCCCCAGAGACGCTGAAGTCCACGGACCAGTCAGAAACCTGGGGAAGGGGAGGGTCAGTGCGGGCAGAGCCCCCGCTCCAACCAGTCCCCGGCGGGGACTCACCCTGGCCCACAGACCCCCCCCCCACTCCGACCCGTCCCCCGTGGGGACTCACCCAGGCCCACAGACCCCCCCCACTCTGACCCGTCCCCCTGGGGACTCACCCAGGCCTACAGACCCCCCACTCCGACCCATCCCCCGCGGGGACTCACCCAGACCCACAGACCCCCCACTCTGACCCGTGCCCTGCGGGGACTCACCCAGACCCACAGACCCCCCACTCCGACCCGTCCCCCGCGGGGACTCACCCAGACCCACAGATCCCCCACTCCGACCCATCCCCCGCAAGGACTCACCCAGGCCCACAGACCCTCCACCCTGACCTGTCCCCCTGGGGACTCACCCAGGCCCACTGCAGGGAAGGGGGCTTCGTGCCCGCCTTGGTGCACTCCTGCAGGCCCGTGGCGTCGCTCCACATGTGCCGGTCGGTGGGCAGGCCCCTGGGGCAGGACAAGGGGGGGCGAGTGTGGGACTCGAGGCAAGAGCGGCCTGCCCCAGCCCACTGGCCAGTGACAGACACGCTAGGACCACTGCACTCAGAAGGGGCGAACTGCCCCACGTCTGGGCCCACGTGGGGTGAGCCCACATCACGAGGGGGCCTGGACCGCAACCCCCCGAGGGCTGCGACCACCTCTCTGCTGGCACCCATGTGTTACCAGCCTGGCTACGTGTGTCCGGGCCATCTACAGCTCGTCGGTGCACACTTATGCTCTGTGTTCCACGTATGTCATACCTCTCAGTAGCCGTTTTAAACATGTGCATTACACTTAAAGAGTCAAAACGAGCCCGTGCGCGGGAAGATCCGGCGAGGGCCACGCTGGCGCTGGAGGCCGCTCTCACGCTGCGCTGGTACTGGGCGTGGCTGTCCCTCGGGTCCGGGCGGTGGCCCGGGCTGGCGGCACCGGGCGCAGCCCGCTCACCTGCTGGTGTAGCCCGTGACGGGATTCCAGCGCTGGTTCTCGTAGATGTGCACGCACTTCACGTCCGACTGCGTGTAGATGTTCCCAGTGCTGCTGGCCAGGCCTGCGGGGAGAAGCAGCTGCCAGGCCCTGGGCCGCACCTGCCCGCGGGGGCCCCCAAAGGCCGGGCGGAGAGGTGAGGAGGGAGAGGGTCAGCCGAGGGGCACCCAGGGGCCGGCCAGCCAGCTCTCTGATAACTGGGTTTGCGCAACCCTGACGAGACCGCTACGGCCCAGCCTCCCACCACACGCTCCAGCTCCTCAGTCTCACGCTCTGGCTGCACCTCTTCCCCCCAGGAAATCCCACGTCCCTGGCCCAGCAGCTCCCTCCTTATTAACACTCAGTAACCTCCACGAACACCAATTCCTCATCCGTGCCTCACTGACACGAAGCTGTGAAATCCGGGTGGAGGTGTTCCCGTGGTCTCAGTGGACCACAGTTCCACAGCAGTAGCCACCCCAGGGCAGGGCGTGTGGCAGGAATCTCTCCCCTCGGGGTTCCTTTCGGCCTCTGCGTCCCAGTAGGAGACCAAAGCACCCCGCTTCCCAGAACTGGGGGTGTGTGCAGGGCTCTCATCTCCAGGCACAGCCCACCTGATGAGCTAGATTCTGGGTCTGGGAACCAGGAGAACCGGCTCCTGGGCTGCCCGCATGTGCCCTGGGGCCTTGTCTGTGAGCTGAGGCTTAGACACGGTGGAGGCCTCTAGAACCTGCAAGGCTGGGAAGGTGTATCCTTGCCTGTGAGCTGAGGCTTAGACACGGCGGAGGCCTCTAGAACCTGCAAGGCTGGGAAGGTGTATCCTTGCCTGTGAGCTGAGGCTCAGACACGGCGGAGGCCTCTAGAACCTGCGAGGCTGGGAAGGTGTATCCTTGCCTGTGAGCTGAGGCTCAGACACGGCGGAGGCCTCTAGAACCTGCAAGGCTGGGAAGGTGTATCGAGGCGAGGCCTGGGCTCCGGGCTCTCACGCCTCACGTGTTGGCCCCGGAACCGTCCCCTGCAGAGGCTGGCAGTGCTGAAGGTCACCTGTCAGCCAGCTGCCAACTGAATGTCAACACTAGGACAGCGGCTCTGGCGCGGGGCAGGGAACCGGAGGGATTAGGGGAACTGCCGGGAAGGCTGTGGCAGGACGGGGAGCTGGTCCTGCCAGCCTCGGGGTGCGGGCCACCCTCACCCTGGAAGCAGCCTCCGCCGTAGCCGCCCGTGTACACCCAGGCTGTGCCGTCGTAGCCGATGCCCCACACCACGCCATGGCTGCTGGCCTCCACCACCCGCAGGTGGCCTCCCATCTGCCGCCAGAACCTGGGAGGAGGGGAGAGGAGGGAGAAGTGACCCGAGCAGGGCGTCCCGGCCTTCTCCCCGAGAGCCCTGGGCCTGGGCGAGCGCGTCACGCCAGGGCGCAGGGTCGGCTCATCCGCAGGGTGAGCCACACGGACCAGCGACAGCCTCACGGGCAGCGAAGCCTCTGGGTGGGCAGAGAGCGGGGTGCGGCTGCCACCTGGTCACCCTCCTGGGGCCAAGGCCCTGCCACTGTCAACCAGGGGGTTGGCTTTTCCAACCACGAGTGGAGGAACCAAGGGCGGGCGGACAGACACAGCGACTGCTCCCTCCTGGTCTCAGGTCCCCCTGGTCCTCACTGGCTCTGGGTGACCTTCTGGGGGCAGAATCGGAGCACCACGTTCCCACCAAGACGGCGGGTGCCCAGGACTGTGTTCGCGCTGCCCCAGCGGGTGGCCTCATTCCACCTGCTGGTTCTAAATGCCACCTCAAAGCCGGCCCTTCACCCTGAGCCACAGCAAGTTCAGCGGGGTGACCTGCCCGATGGCTCCCTTGGGGGGGAGTGGCCGGGCCCCCGCCCGCCTGGAGCTGGCCCACTCACATCTGGTCGCAGGGCAGCGGGTGCTCGGGGGCCTCCAGGTCCGGGCTGGGCTCGCTCACGAAGATGTCCCCCTTGCAGGTGACGGACCAGATGGCCTGCGGGGAGGGGCGGCCGAGGACCCTCCGGCTCTCACAGCAGGACAGGTTGAGCAGGGCCAGCTGGCGTGGGCAGACAGCCGGTCACCACTGGGAGGAAGGCAGCAGGCCGAGGCGGGGCTGCCCTGAGCCTGCTGCCCCTTGACCCCGGCCTGTGGGGAACACCGCCCACTCACCCAGTCATTCATGTCCTGCTCGGTGGCGGCAGCCAGACGCACCGGCCACCTTTGCCGGGTCCTTTCGGGGGTGTACAGGGCAAAGGAGTGCTTGGCCTCGTTGAGCACGGGGACCAGCGTGGTCACCTCGTTGAGGAACACATGCAGGTACTGTGCACAGAGCGGGGCGGCAGGACTGTCACTGGGGGTGAGCAGGGCCACCCTGGGCCACCCCCAGTTCCACAGAGGTGGTTCTTGGGGCCCTGGCCTGCGGGTTTTGGCGGTGGGCTCTGGAAGGTCCCGCGTGGAAGCCTAATTCGTGAGCATATGCCGGGGTTCATCTTCGACAATGACAAGGGCACTTGAGAATCGGACCGACTGGGCTTAGCCCCCAGGCCTGGAGGGGTGGCCAGCTTCACGTCTGTGAGCCTGGGCTCACGAACACCGGCTCGGACCAGGAGCTGCCGCGGGGCTGCCACACGCCCGCCCAGGACTCCCGGGGCCTGTCACCAGGGCAGGACTCTGCAGGCGCCAGACGCTGTGCTGGGCGGAGCTCAGAGCCAGGGTCCCAGCCTGCTCCTGCTCCCTTCCCCGGGACCCACCCCCGTCGCGCCCCCGCCCCCCCGCACCTTCTTCTCCTCCTGGACCACGTAGTAGACGAAGAGGATGCTGTCGCGAGCCCCATCGTGCCCCTTGAACTGCTCCAGGGCCACGCGGACGTCCACCCATTTGTGAGGCTTCCAGTCGCACCACCACTGCAGGGACCCCGTCTTCACCCACACCGACTGCGGCAGAGCCCGGGATGGTCACAGGCAGGCCCCGGTCCCCAAACTTGGCCCTGTCTGTGCCCAGTTCCCAGCACCCCGGGGCCACCCTGGCCCGTCCCGAGAGCTCCCCGCTCCCCCACTTCGCCCTAGTGACAAGTGACGCTATCAGACACCCGACAGGGGCCAGGCAGCAAGCCAGCGTCAGCCAAGCATAACAGCCTGTGGGGTCGTTACCCCTTGTCTGCATGGGGAAACTGAGGCTTGGGGAGGTCCTGTTCCTGGCCCAACCTCAGAGTGGTCAGCGGCAAAGCGGGGCCCACGGCGGGCCCGCCGGTCTCAGAGGCCCTGAGCTTAGCCACCGGGAGCCGCTTCTGTGCCACCAGCCGAAACACAGCCGGGTCCTCTGCGTGAGCCCAGCCTGTGCTTCCGTAACTTCTGCCTCCAGACCTGACTGGGCCTCGGGCTGGGCTCGGCCTCAGGGCGTCCCAGACCACCCTCAACCCCGCCCTCAGCTCTCAGTGAAACTGCACCATCCTGGCATGTGGAGACCCCCCAGCAGGGGCAGGGCTGTACCCCCGCCCCCCCGCACCTCCCACACCTCCCGCCTGCAGCTCAGTGGGGTCTGAACCGAGCTCTTTAGGGTGGATGAGCACAGGAACGGACGCATTTCTTCACTCTGGATCTGTGAAGACCGGGAAGGGATGGCTTTCCATCCAAGATGGACGGGCAGAGGGATGCCTGCACCCGCCTGCTTCTCCTGCCCACCTTGGGGCTGGCATACAGCGGGCATTCGATACAGAAATGCGGGCTGAGGACAGTGCACCGGACCCCCACCTGCTCCACGGCCTGCTCATAGTGTCGGAAGTTCTCCAGCTCCCGCTTGGTCCGTTCCGTCAGCTGCTGGAAGATCTGCTTCCGCCAGGTGGCAGTCTGGGCTGGTGTGATGGCCGGGGACAGCGTCTGCACGGAGGAAGACAGGCCTGCGGGCCGGCCAGAACCTCAGGCCACGTGTCTGGCCTGCCCACAGCTGGGCAGCAGCCAGGGTTTTGCTTTCATTTTTACATCAGCCTATCTTGCTAGGAAGCTATGATCTCCATAAAACACCCACGAGCCTCCCCACATAATTCACCCTGATGTCCCCCCAGTTCAGCCCAGAAGGGCCACCGATGCTAGGACAGAGAGGGGGAGGGGCACTGGTCTTGGAGGCTGGACAGACCTGTCTGAGCACAGGGCAGTGGGCCTGCTCCCCTTCCCCAGGAGCACCCCCTGGGGCCCAGGGCCCGCTGCCCCCCTTACCCGACTGGACAGTGAACCACTTGAGCACAGCATGGGGCTCCATGGCGCAGCCTCCTCCCGACACCCAGGCCCACAGCGGGTGGTCGTCAGCGCAGTAGGGCTCCTCCAAGCCCAGTGGGAGCATGCCCAGCGAGGAGAGGCCGGCCGTCTCAGGACAGTCAGCAGCAGACTGGCTGGGTGCTTTCTTGGGCTCCTTCAGGTCGATGTTGGTCCAGGGCAGCTCGGCTGGGGTGGAGGCCGGGCAAGGGTGAGGCTCGGGCCTAGGGGTCTGATCGGCCGGGCTGGCAGCCTCCGCCGCATGCTCTGTGGTCTTGCTGGCGCCTAGGCCCGCGGCCGAGCTGCCCTTGGAGGCCCTGGGACTTTCCAGAGACCCTGCAGGGACAGCCTGTTCAGGCCCCGGTCTCTCAGCTTCCGAGGAGGCGTCCACGTCGCTTGGTGCACAGGAGTCACCACCGCCCCTCACCTCGTCGCCGAAGAAGCAGCCAGCACTGGGGACGAAAGGGGCAGAGCTGTGACTCCCCGGAGGGAGGAACCCACGCTGTCGGGAGGCCTGGGGGAGGCCGGGCTCATCTGCTCTACCACCGCGATTTGTGTGACCCCGGGCAAGTCACAGCCTCTCTGTGCCTCACAGGGAGCCGGGCACTGCGCAGCGTCCCGACACCCGGGCCGTACCCACAGCCATCAGACCAATGCTCTGGAGGTTGAGCCGGCAGTGATACCATTTTTTTAAATTGTGGCAAAGTCTGTGTGAGGAAGAGTTTAGCATCTGAGATCATGCAACGCAGTGGCATGAAGTACGTCCATAACGTCGTGCCACCTTCACCACAGCCTGGTCCCAGAACTTTCTCGTCACCCCCAATGGAAACGCCACTGAATCACCCCCTCTTCCTCGTGCCCAACTTCCTGGCAGCCGCTCCTTCGATTGCTGCCTCCACGGACGCCTGCCTCGTCTGGACACTCACATGAATGGCATCACACGACATGTGACCTTTAGGGGCCGGCTTCTTCGACTCAGTAAACGGTGGCAGGGGTCACTTGTGTTGCGGCAGGCGCGAGCACCTCATTCCTTTTTCCCCTAATCCTCACCTGAGGACATTTTTCCATTTGTTTTTTTAGATAGAGTAGGAAGGAGGGAGGGAGACAGGGAGGGAAGGGGAGAGGGTGAGAGAGAGGGAGAGAGAGAGACACATCGATTGGCTGCCTCCCACATGACCCCGACAGGTCCAGGGGCCATGAGAAAGGTCCCCCGGACCGGGAACCAAACCCACACCTCTTCAGTCCTTGGGCGAATCGCTGAGCCAAACCAGCCAGGGCCTTCGTTCCTCTTCACTGCCGAGTAAAAGTCTACTGTATGGCCAGACCCCATTTCACTTATCTGTTCGTCCACCGATGGACAGTCGGGGTGTCTCCACCTTTTGGCGACTGTGAACGACGCTGCTAGGAACATCCGTACGCTCGTTGTTTGAGCACCTGTTTCCCGTTCTTTCAGGTGCAGCGCTGGGCGTGAGACAGCTCGGCCCCAAGGGGACTCTGTCTTAACTTCCCGGGGAACTGCCAGACTTGTCGCTGTTTCCAGTCCTACCCGCAGAGCACCGAGCTCCGACGTCTCCGTGCTTGTCAACACTTCTGTCTTGCTTTTCAGTCATGGCTGATCTGGTGGGTGTGCAGTGGTGTCTCACTTTGGCCTTGACTGGCGTTTCCCTCACGACCGACAACACCGAGCATCGTTTCCTGTGCTCGCTGGCCGTTCACACCTACTGTAGCGGAATGCCCATGCAAGCCCTTCGCCCTTTCAAAGTCGGCCTGTCTTTCTGTTGCCAAGCCGTAAGAATTCCTGATGTGCATTCTAGACACCAGGCCCTTGTCCAACGTACGACTTGTAGATACTCTTTCCCACTGACTGTCTTTTCACTCTCTCGAGAGTGTCCTTGATGCACGAAACGTCCCGTTTTGATGAAGTCCAATCTATCTTTCCTTTTGTTTCTTGTGCTTTTGCCAACTCCAGGGTCAGGCAGATTTTTTTTACATTAGTTTCAGACACTTCTCAGCTGATTCCAACGTGCTGCTCAGTGTGAGAACCACCGAAGCCTCAGCTAATGGAGCAAAGCCTGCCCAGCCCTGAGCGCTCTGGGCTGCTGGTGCAACAGTGTGACGACCCAGGCCGGGGGAGCGAAGGGGTGTGGACCAGGGTCTGCGGGCAGGAACGTGGGGGCTTCGGAGCACCGTGCTGACAGGGCAGGTGAGCACTGTGGGCTTTCCCATGGAGCGGGGGTGACTCCAGGCTCTGCTAAGTCACCTGCCTGCACTGTCACAGCTGGCGGGCAGAGCTGGGCCTCCGCCACACTCTCTCTCTTTTTGTACATGCCCCTAGCCGCGAGAGCCTTGTGCAAACCGAACGCGGGACTCTCTGGTCCGCAGGCCGATGCTCCAACCGCTGAGCCAAACCGGCCAGGGCTCCCCCACGCCTCTAGGTGCCAGGGTCTCAATGTGTGCTCCCTAGAAGTGCGACAGCAACACACCTGGGCCTTGCAAGAAACGCAAAATCTCGGGCCCCAGAGCTACCTGAACAGACGCCCTGGGGACGGGCCTGGAAACCGCTGCGGGAACAGGCGCCCCGGAGGATTCTAGTGCCTGCCCAAGCCTGGAGTCCCGGCTGCAGAGAGTCCGTCCACCTTCCCTGAGCACCCTCCCTGCAAAGAAGCCTTTTCTCTCCCTGACCTTGAGATGCCAGAGCCAACAGGCCAGTCCTGCCCAGGCACAGTCCGTGGCTCCAAAACGGACAGACATCCCAGCCTCCCCCACCTCCCACCCGCGGGAGGAGCCGGGGCACCAGTCACAGGAAGGGAAGACACCGCAGGCTGGTTTCTCCTTCCGGAAACCAGGCCCGGCAGCGTCCTCCAGATGCTGCCCACCGCGGCCACGGACGGCCCTTCCCTCCTGACTCCTCTGTGCCCCGACACCTCTGGGATCACCTGAGGAGACTTGAGGAGCTGCCAGAGTGTGACCGGTCACATTCTCGGCCGGCGACAATGGCCTTCCACGTCTTCCCACTCAGCTCGCTTGGGGTGACACCCTGACGGAAGTACACAGCCCGGTCCTCACAGCCGATGCCCCAGACCTGGAACAGAGAGGTGCTGCTGGGTGGGAAGCCAGTGCGGACCTGGGGCTCTCCTCCCTTTGGGAGTGTGGGGGAGGACGGGATGCAGGAGAGCACCCCGAGCTGGAGGACACATCTGTACATGCAGTGGGGTGCGTGTGCACACGTGTGCGTCAGGGCTGGAAGGTGGATGGCATGGCCACGGGTGGGTGCGGAGGTAAAATTCAGGAGGTGGAGACCAGAGAAGTTTGGGGGGGCACGGTGCTGAGCTCAGGAGAAGCAGGGACCTGTCCTGCTCCCTGACCTCAGGCAGACCCGGGGCTTTGAGGCAAGAGGGGGCCCGAGGAGGTGCTAGCGGGTGCTGTCCTGGGACACAAAGTCCACCACGTCCCCATCTTGTCTGCTGGCAGGGACGCTGCTCCCCAGAGAACCCAGATGGTGGTCCTGCTCCTTTTTAAGAAGCAAAATAACCTCCTTGATTCTGACCTAATTTTCCATGGGAGAGGTAGCCGAGGCCTCCTCCCCTCTGCCTTTGGGTGCTGGGCAGCTGAAGGGCCCCAGCCAGCCCTGGGCCTGGCAGAACCGTGGCCTCATGCCCCGCCCCGTGAGCACCTGCTGATGCCTGCCCCGCCCGACTGCTGTTACAGTTCACTGGGGCGGGTGGGAGGAGGCCAGCGCCCCGGGGAGAGCTCCTGCCGCGGCGTGACGGGGGACATGTCGCCTTCACACGCTCGGTCTCAAACACCGCCAAATCTCATTATTTATGAGGCGAGGCTACGCCGCACCAACTACACGGGTGATGTCCCAGAGATGCTACGTTGAGAAAGGGGAAGATCAGTTTTGTCTGCACCTGGGGGTCTGATTTCCCCCAAACAGTTCTCAACAAAACTCTCCCAGCCTCCGGGCTGCATGTCCCTCTCCCAGACCTGTGCTCACTGCCATTGCTCTGGGGGTCCTTCGGGGAGGGGCCTGAGGCAAGGGGGAGCTCAGGGAGGAAGGCGGGGCCCCCCCTCGTGGTGGCATCAGGAGACCCCGCGCGGAGACCCAGCCCCCGAAGCTGAGGTTCAGAACCCCGCGCGCACCTGGTCGTTCAGCCCCACGTTCACCATCATCATTTCTCCCACCATCTCGATCCAGCTGGTGCCACAGGGATTGTGCGAGTTGACGCCTCTGCGGAACCACACCTGGGAGAGTCAGAAATAAATGCCTCCTTGGAGTGCCACTGAAATAGGGGGGGTTTATTTTATTTTTTGATTAAAGTGCAAGAACAAATGAGTAGTCTGATCCTCTGATTCATGCCACAAATGAGCACAACACAGCTTTCAGGGAGGAAACATTCATGCCACACCCCTTCCTCGGGGCTGAGGGTCACCTGTCCCCAGGCACACTTGTCTGATGGCTTCCTGTCCATTTGTTGGCTGAGGGCATTGTCCAGGCAGACTTGTCTCCTGGATCTTTCTAAAACCTTCCCACTGGCTCAGACACTGGCGGCACCTGGTGGCACCAGGCAGCAGCAGCAGGTGTCAGTTGTTTCAGTGCAGTGAGGGACGGGAAGTGGGACAGTTCATAGGCAGAGGTGACAGGGGGAGGGGACGACACATACTGCACCTCAACTCCAGACTCTGATCTGAGACCCCATCCTGTGGACCCCTGTGCAATCCCCACCTCAGCTCATGCATAATCAAATACTCATCTTAACTGCTCATATTCAGCCAATCTGCTGCTCATTGAATCCACTGCTCTGAGTGTGGGGTGCTTGGGGGCCCAGGGGGACAGTCGATCTGTACTTTCTGGGGTGGGCATGTGGCCGGAGGCTTGGGAGCTTCAGCACTGGAGACGGACTGGATGTGTGGGTGACCTGTCCCCCTGGATGTTAGGGGAAGCCCTTGATGTGAATGGGGTTAGAAAGGGAACTTGTAAGCAACCCGAAATCAGCTTATTTTATTGGCCTGGCCTCTGATAAAATGAAAAGGACAACCATGGACAGGAGCCAGGGGAGGCGGTCAATTAGCCGAGGGTTTCAGAAAATCAGCTCCTGATCCTTTGAAAGGTTACGGGCTATCAAGAGATCAATGCAGCTGCTCTGCGACACAGACAGTGCACGGTGCTTGGTGGATTTGTTCTCAAGGGTTCAGAACAAAAGAACAAAAACCCACACCACCCTCCACACGAAACAGCCCCGGGACCCAGACCCCCGGGACCCTGTCTTACTTTCCGGTCCTTGGTGACGGCCCAGACCACGCCCACTCCCACAGAGACGTGCATGATCCCATTTTCAGAGGTAGGAGGCTCCACTATGCACCAGGAACTTCCTACTTGGCACCAGAAGAAAGCACAGGGTCCCCATCAGTGGGCGCCCTGGGGAGCAGCTGGGCACCCTGCCTCTGCCAGTATGGGGTGTAGGGCTCCCACCTTTGGGGTTGTTCCTGTTGATTCCTTCCCGAACCAAGGCCTGCCCTTCCCAGAGCGTGACCCACAGGAGGTCGTGGGGCCCACAGCTGATCTGGACCACCTCCCCCGGTGTGTCCACGAGGGACCACGACGAGCCTTCGGGATTGGGGTGGCTGACGTCTTCTCTGTACCACACCTGAAAGGCGAGAGAAACCCACAGGAAGGGTCCAGTGGGGTCAGGCCAGGGCTCCACAGACGAACCAGCTGCCTAAGCTTGGCTGCATGGGCACCAGCACACGCACAGGCTGAGCGTGGGCGGAGTCCTGGGAGACCAGGGGCCAGGGTGCCCTGCCAGTCTAGGGGCCCCTCGCCCTGCCCCAACTGCCTTTGGGATTCTGGTGCCAGACAAGATGACGCCTCAGTGCTGGTAAAAAAAAAACGTGACACGTGGATTTCCGCCGTCCTCGGGGACAGACCTGCTGTTCAGCTGCTGTGACAACCTCCTCCTCGCTTACCCACGTGCCCACTGAGCGCGCGGCCCCAGCTTGGGCGTCCTGCGCACCCTAGTGGTGACACAGTCTCAGAACACCTGTCTCTAGTCTAGGGGAAGCTGACCTGGTTTCAAGTGGGAAAACCCCAACCAAGTCCCTTCGCAGGAATGTCTGAAATGCCCATTTCTTTCTCTCTAACCCCCAGACCGCGAGCATAATCAAATATTTAAGACGGAGCCGCCTCTTCCTTTTGCCCGCACTGTCCGGCTCATTTCGCCTGCAGGGCGCCGCACGCTGCCTGCCTTGTGGTCCCGGAGGGCTGGGAAACCCCCCAGGAGCCGCCTCCGTGCCGCGACCGTGGCCTCCCAACCCTGTCACCTCACCCCTACAGCCACACTGCAGAACCAGACTGGACAGTCCCCTTCTTCTACCTGCTGGCTTGGGGGCCCCCTGTCTCCCCAGCGCCTCCTGGAGCCCAGCATCCTGGTCACACCGTTTATGGACCACGGGCTGGTGCAGGGCAGTGCCGGCTGGCAGCTGGCATGCAGGCACCATAAACACTGCTCTCGAGCCCCCATTCCCCCTTCTCTTTGCTTCCGGGTGGGCGTGGCCCCTGGGCAGGGGCTCTGTCCCAGGGCCAGAGGTTAGCCTGACGCCAGCCTGCCCTGACTGTCCCAAAGCCAGGCAGAGAGCTTGCTAAGGAGTACTGAGCGGTCACACGGTGCGCTCTGAAACCACGGCTGAGCATTGCAGCACTCGCACCCAGGACCGTGGGTCCTGCTGCAGTCTGGGGGTGCTTGTATCCCTTTGTTTCGTGTACAAACTCCGAGAGAAGGATCTCCTCTCCTCTCTAAACACCCACCTGTCCACCCGCCCACCCACCTACCTGTCCATCTCTACACCTACGCACCCTCCCATCACCTACACCCACCCACGGGTGTCCCTTCTAGAGACGGCTGTGGAGGTGCCACGAGGGAGTGGGCAGGGAGACCATACTGATGGCATCTGAACCCAGGGCAGGCTCCGAGGAGGGCCAGGCCAGGGCCAGGAACAGCGTGGGAGGCAAGAGGCTTCTGAAAGGTGCAGGACCCACAGGAAGGGTAGTGATGGGGAGCCCGGTGACATGCCACCTGCTTAGGCTGACCCCCGCTGTGGGGACAGAGGTCAGGAGAAGGTCTCAGAGGCAGCCTCCTCCTTCCTCCATCTCCGGGACGACAGTGGAAGGCCAGCTCGTCTCCTGCCCTGCTCCTGACTGTGGCCAACCCCTCAGCCACCTCCTGCTCAAGGCACGGGGTCCCAGGGCTCACCTTTCCTTGCAGAGACACGGCCCACACGGACAGGTGGCCCACGGGCTCATCGGTGACCTCCCACCCCCCCACAGAGAGGTCGTTGAAGGGGTCGGGCAGTTGTTTGGGGTCATCCTTCGAAGGGATCTGAAACAAACAGGTGCGAGGCAGCGGCAGTCAGTCCCTGGGGCACCTGGGCCGGTAGGTGGCACTGCTCCCCGGGAGACACCTGCCCTGCCCCAGCCGTGCCTGCTCTGGCCTTCAGCGTGCTGCCTTCCATTCTCCTGTTCCCCAACCTCAGGGCACAGCTGCCCCACTTCAGCGGACAAGCACATCAGACATCAGAACACACTGTTCCTGCCCTGGGTCCTCTCTACCCTTCCTTCCTCTGCCAGCCCCTGGGCCCGAGCTGCCGCCCCCGAGGGGTCACTGCTGTGCCCGCGTGAAGGCAGCTGCACACACGGCCTTGGCTCTGTGCTTTGTGGTGACCTGAGGGCTATGATGCCACCCCCACCTAGAAGGGGGCCGATCCCAGACGCGGCCCCTGCAGTGTAAGCCCTCTATGCTGTTGGGGGGGGGTGGTGGCAGGTAGGCGGGGCTGCCAGCCCCCACAGCACGGACCCTCTAGAGAGAGGTCCGGTGAGGGCTCAAGCCTTCTCCTCATCCAAGGCCATGTAGGACCCAATCCAGGCTTCATGCCCTGTCGGGAGGTTTGTCTGGGTCACAGAAACAACACAAGAGCTCGAGTGGCTCATTTGGGGGTGAGGCAGAAAGAATTGCACAGATCGAGATTCATCTGGGACAGGGCAGCTCGGAGACCAGGGTTAGGACAAGTTCTGTGCTGTCCTGGGCCTGCCTCTCCATGTGGCCATTTCCCAGAAGGGGACACCAGTGCCACCGTGTTCCCAGGAGACAAGTCAAAGGCCGGGTCCCAGTGTGGGGGTGGCATCCCCTGAGCATAGGCAGGAGAGCAGAAACGAGGGTCCACGTGATCCTCCCAATACAGGGACTGCTGTGGGCCCTGGCCCACCCCCAGGCCACATGCAGGCTCCGACCTTGGCCCAGGTGTCGCGGGACTTGTATCTCCTGTACCGGATCCACCTTCGCCGCCGCACGTAAGAATTCCACTTCTTGTCTCGCGTGTAGGTGGCAGGGAAGTCGATGGCATATGTCCATCCCTGAAATACAAGGGGGGGTCTCTGCTCTGGGGGGGGGGGTGATAGGGCTGGGGGAGGTGGAGAGCAGGGAGCAGGAGGAACAGCACTGATCCCCACCGATCCTGTGCCGAAAGTGGGGAGCACGCAGGGCAGAGGCCGGGGCCAGCCGCCACGGGACACGGGGGACAGCGCTGAAGGGCCGGGCTGAGCCTGAAGCATTCCCTCCCCACGTGGGAGCCCTGGCGGGAACCAAGTCCACCTACCCCTTTCTCGGTGGGCTCCCCTCCGAAGTTCTCATCCACGTACCAGTCGGATTCCCATTCCCAGTGCGGGGAGGGCAGCACCACCCCATCCAGCGGCCGGTGCTGGAGCCCACTCACGTCGCTCCATGGCCAGCGGTCACTAGGCAGTAGCTTCTCACAGAAGCCGCCCACGGGGTTCCAGCGCTGAGGGCAGGGGGCAGGCATGGGCTTCAGGCCTGCAGCTGGCATGGGGAGGCCAGGCCCCTGCCAGCGGGGCACTCTGCTCGTCTCCACGGTGGGAAGGGAGTGGAGGGCCTGCCTGGAACTCAGGGATCAGCCAGCACATCCTCGCAGCCCCAAAGGGAAGAGACCTGCCACAGGACGCGGTGCCCCAAGGGGCAAGCAGTGTGGGGCATGGCCCATCCTGGGCTCCTGGAAACTGCCTGGACTCACCCTTGTGTGACCCTGACCAACCTGCCTTGGTGAGGACAACACAGGCTCTGGCCCCAAAGACCCCGGACACTACAGACCTTGGATCTTTAGCAGAACGTGGGAACTGGCCGGGAGTCGGGGTGGGGGGGGGCGGTTATTTCCCAGCCAACGACCTCAGCAACCCAAACACACATGCCCCACCTGATTCTCATAGACCTCCTCTTGGCGGCGGATGGGGACGTCACTGGCGCACACATACACGTAGACCTGGTTGTCACAGGCGATGCCCCAGCAGCACTGCGTGGCCGCACTGACCCGCTTGAACTCCAGCTGGGTGTCCTTGCAGAGCTCCCAGTACTGGCCGGCTGTGGAGAGCGTGTACACCCTCCCGAAGAGGTCCACTGCCCACAGCGCCGAGCTGGGCATGGTGGCGGGGCTGCAGAAAGACTGGGGGTGGCAGCAAGGGTCAGTGTTGTGTCCACAGCCAGCTCCAGGCTCATACACAGATGGCAAAACGCAGTCTGGACAGCGGATGAGTGGTCATCCCATAAATCAGAGGCAGAGCCTGGCAGAGTCTTTGGAAGGCCCTTTTTCCTTCTTTGCTTTTCTGTCCCTCTAATTGTGGGCACTTCTTTCAAACGTATAAAAAAGTACAGAGAAGAAAATAACCTCCAAATCTCTCCCTCCCCAAATTTAATGAATGTTGTTATTCTGTCACATTGCCTTCAGATCTTTCATACCAAACAAATAAATGAAAAGTCACAGATTTAGTGAACCCCAAATATACACGTGTCCTGCTGCCTCCCCAGGAGGCCTCTGCCCCAGGGTGGGAGGGTTCCCATCGTCATGCTGGTCCCATCGGGACCTTCCTATATGGGTTTGGTAGGTGTGACCACACCCCAGCCAGAGCCCTGTGTGGTCCTGCAGGAGCCCTGTGGCTGTGTGGCAGGGCTGTGAGGGTCCTGTTTTCCCTCTCCTTGTGTGACCACCTCCCTCTCTTCCCCATCCTTTTCCTTCTGCTATTCTCCATTCCAGTTGCTTTTCCTCCCCTCTCCTTTCTGCTTGGCAGGGGGTGGGCAAGGCAACCGCTGCACTCTGCCACTGGCCACTCCCAGCCTGGGGCTGACCGCTGCTGACCCTGGGGCGTAACTCCCGAAGTCCTGGCTTCTGGGAGGGATGAGCCCCCCACCATGGCAGGACCACGTGGCCAGATCCACGGTAGCCAAACAGAGCAGCTGGATGAGGGCGGCAAGGAAAATGGCAGTGCGATGGAAGCCTGCCCAAGGGTCAGGGTGGAGGGAACAACTGGAAGGTGAGGACACAGCCAGTCGGGTTCAGAAACTGGAGTTACCAGCAGACAGAGTGTGGGCACCTCCAGCCAGGCCATGCTGTTCCTGCAGCACGCCAGGAGCATGGGGGCCCTGCGGAAGGTCAGCGACTGGAATGTCAACAGGAGATGGACTGTGTCCCAAAACAGGAGCATCTGCCAGGGGCAAGTAGGCTCTTTGGGAACAAAGTCTTACAAACACCAGGAGGAAAGAGAAGTGACAAGTTGGAAAGGAAGTGACAGGAGAATAAGGAACAGGAAGTAGAGGAGCAGAAGGGACAGGAGCCAAGCCCGGAAAATACTGGGATAGGAAGTGGAGGGAGGTGACGGGGGGGGGGAGGGGGGGCACACGTGCCCCAGGGGAGCTGCTGCAGTCCCTCCAGCTGTGACCCAGGGCACCAGCACCCAGTCAAACACACGGGAGCTCAGAAGGCCAGCCTTCTGGAGCCGTCTGAACACTGGCACATGTCCCTGAGGTGGGACCCATGCGAAAGCCGTGGCAACCTCCAGATACCCCTTTGTTTCTCCCTGGACAGGACTGAGGGTCCACTATCTCCCTGCGGCATCTCCACTGTGACTAAGAGTGCCCGGAGCCAGCCAGGCCCAGACTGTTGGACTTTGGTCCTGGCTACACCACCAAAAATCGACAAACCTCTCTGTGTCTCAGTTTCCTGATCTGTAAAAGGCAAAAAAAGAAATCGTGACCTACTGAGGTGATTGTGAGAATTAAATGAGATAATACGGGCACAGAGCTCCTACTAAATAGAGCTCAGTACCCAGCAAGAACTCAATGACTGTTACTGATGTCATTTTATTACTTGGCATTTGCTACCACAAATTGCCATTTATTTTCTACCTCTTAAAGACAACACAAAACAAAAAAATCAAGCCCATTTCTATCAGCCTGGGTCTTCAGCCTCTTCACTTCCTCAGCACCTAACAGCGCTCTACACACAGTGGGTCTTTAACGGAAGTTAGAGATAATTAACACCACCTCCAGCCACCACACTGTCAATTCTCCGAACTAAGACTAAAACACTGCTCCAAGAAAACCACATGTCACTAATCATTTAAGGTCAGCAGCCAGGTCATAATAGGTGGATAGGAATGTGATCAAGCAAATGCAGTGAAATGTCAATAGAAGAATGTAGGTAGTGGGCATGTGGGTGTTTATAATTCTTTCAACTTGGCTGTATGCTTGAAAATCCTCATAACTTGGGGAAAAGGGAAGGTCTTTTTTTGAGGGGAGGGGGAATGTTGGTTCCCATGGTGTTATTTTAATATAAGTCCAGTCTTCAAAGGTATCTCTTAGTGACAGTTCACAGTATATGTGACCAGTTAAGTCAGGCTCATTCTGCAGGTTGAGCTCAGTGAATGGTGACTTTGACGTGTATTTGATACACTTTCCCTCAGAGAAATGACTAAGCAGTAATTTCCACACAGACATAATTGAACCTTCGGGGCACCCAATGGAAGACTCTACAGCAGAGAAAGGATGGGGTGGGGTTGTGCAAACTCCCTTCAGAGTGGAGCCTGCGCTTCAGTCCCTTCCCACTGAAGATGAACACTCCACCTAGGTCAGCTACACCTCCTTCCCACCTCTGCCAGGGTGCTGCCCAACTCTCCACAGGCCACTTCCCAGATAGGACCTGATCAGGTAACCTGTCAGGGTCACTGGGTCACTGGGTCGGAAGACTCTTGAAAGGAGGGTTGGAGCATTAATCTCAGGCTTCTGCGGTTCTGGTATTTCTGTTTTGTAGGAATGAAGGAATAGAGGGACCACCTTTTAAGAAAGCCACTTCCGATTCATTAACAACTTCGCACAATGAATTCCAGCCGAAGCGGTCATTCTGCTCACCCGCCTCAGAGCCATCTGCCTATCTGCACGGGTTTGTTTGTTAACAGATCCCTTCGGAGACCACAGGTACCCACAGGAGGGGCATCATAATTCCAAGGAAGCCCAAGGATCCTTCCTGAAAGGTTGCCTGCTGGTTTGTTTTTCGATTACACCCCGTCAATCCCACCCTCTCTGCAAACAGTCCTGGCAGCTAAGGTCGCTCACTGCCTGCCAATGGCGGGGGCTGTTGGAAGGCGACATCAGGGTCCAAAGAGGCGGGAGAAAACAGCAGGACCTGCATGGTGGGGGAGCCCTTCCTGCGGAGCAGGGTCCGCCGGGCGCCGGGGCAGGAGGGCCTGGAGCCCGCAGCTCTGAAGATATCCCCGGCCTCATCGCCGGGGGTGGGTCAGCCTGGATGCCTTCCGGTTCCGTGCACCTGGGCTACAGGTGGGCCCCTTGCCCGACCACCAGAAGCACATCGGAGCGCCGGGCCCTGACCATCTGTCCGCGCTAATCTCACGACCAGCAGATTTGCTGCTACCACTGCACGGGGGAGGGACGCATGGGCTCCTCCCTGCGTGATCCTCGGAACCCGCCTGGCTCCGGCAAGGCTCCTAACAAACACCTCGCTCCAGTGCACAGGCTGGGGTGGGACGTCAGCTGGCCGCTGCGTTCCGGGGTGCGGGGGCGGCGCCCGATCCCGGTGCTGGAAGAGCACGGGCGCAGCCCCTCCCTCCCTGCTGCCGTCGGGCCGCCCGGCCGGTCCGGGGCGCGGGGACGCCGGCCCAGAGCTCGGGCCGCCCCTGCACTCACCTGGGCCAGCGCCGCGGGGCAGGGTCGCTCGGCTGCCTCTCCGCCGCCGGGAAAGCGGGCGCGTAGGAAGCAGGAGCCGGGCCCGCGCCCATTGGCCGGCTTCGCCGTGACGCAGGAGCCGGGCGCGCGCCATTGGGTGAGGCGCATTGCGTCACGGGCCGGCCTCCGGGTCGCGGCGGGGTCGCGTTGAGGTCCGAGCCCCGGGGCCCGGGGAGCGAGTTCCCGCGCGCTCAAAGGAGCAGAGCAGTGGCCGTCCCCGGCCCGCAGGTCCCGGCCCGCCTCCCCCAGGTCTCTCCCCGCCTCCCCCCAGGTCCCGGCCCGCCTCCTCCGGGTCCCGGGCCGCCTCCCCCCAGGTCTCTCTCCGCCTCCCCCCAGGTCTCTCCCCGCCTCCCCCCAGGTCCCGGCCCGCCTCCTCCCGGGTCCCGGCCCGCCTCCTCCCGGGTCCCGGGCCGCCTCCCCCCGGGTCCCGGCCCGCCGCCTCCCCCCGGATCCCGGCCCGCCGCCTCCGGGTCCCGGCCCGCCTCCCCCCGGGTCTCTCCCCACCTCCCCCCGGGTCTCTCCCTGACTCCCCCCAGGTCCCGGCCCGACTCCCCCCAGGTCTCTCCCCGCCTCCCCCCAGGTCTCTCCCTGACTCCCCCCAGGTCCCGGCCCGACTCCCCCCAGGACCCGCCTGCCTCCCCCCAGGTCTCTCCCCGACTCCCCCCGGGTCTTTCCCCGACTCCCCCCAGGTCCCGGCCCGCCTCCTCCCGGGTCCCGGGCCGCCTCCCCCCGGGTCTCTCCCCGCCTCCCCCCAGGTCTCTCCCCGCCTCCCCCCAGGTCCCGGCCCGCCTCCCCCAGGTCCCGGCCCGCCTCCCCCCAGGTCCCGGCCCGCCTCCCCCCAGGTCTCTCCCCGCCTCCCTCCAGGTCCTGGCCCGCCTCCCCCCCCCCCTCCCCCCCGTTCTCTCCTCGTCTTCCCCCGGGTCCCGGCCCACCTCCCATTAGGTCCCTGCCGGTCTCCCCCCAGGAATCTCTCCGTCTCCCCCTCAGGTCCCGGCCCCATCTTCCTGGCCCATCTCCCCCCAGGACCCGACCTTTGGAGCGGGCAGGCCAGGAGAGGGGCGAGTGGGGAGGGCGCCGCCATGCGGTGACCCCAGGAGGGAGCAGAGCCTGGGGCTCCAGTCAGGTGTCTAGGGGGTGTCCCTGTGTCTGCACTGTCCCTGGAGGGCACAGACTGAACGCTTTACCCTGGGAAGATGTGCTTCTGGCGTCCTATCTAAGGCGTTGCTGCACACAGGACTGCCCTATCGTCACCTTTGCCAGAAAATGCCAGACTGATGGCCCAGTGATAGCACCAGCTTCCACTTCGCCTGCCTGGTAGGCTTCTTTCTCCTTGTGGGTTTAACGTGCGTTTCCCTGCCTACTGCTGAGGTCACTTTTTCATAAGTTTATTGGCCATTTGTATTTTCTCTTTTTTCTTAAGTGTACTTCGCGTCTTTTTTTTCTTTTTTTAGTTGTTTGTGTTTTTCTTACTGATTGGCAATTCTTTCTATATTCTGGTTCCTGGCCCTTTGCTAGTATGGGTATTGCACATACTTCTTCCACTCGGTGGCTTGTCTTTTTACCCTATTAATGAAATGGTGTCCTGATAAAGAGTTCTTCATTTTCAAGGAGCTGAATTGTATCTTTCCTTTAAGGTTGGTGCTTGCTAGATATTTTTTGGTTAGAAATTCTTATCTCAAGGTCTTAAGGATATTAACGATCACATCTTCTAGATGTGTTTTGTTTTACACTTAGGTCTGTAATTCGAGTGGCCATATGTCTAGGTTTATGCTTCTTGTCTTAGCGTCTCTTCAGTTAGCAAAATCCCCTTCTACTCTCAAAATGTCTTTAAATTTTCCTTCAGCTGTCCTTCCAGGAGGAAAGTCAGTAGCACCTCTTCCATTCTGGCCATTGCAGATTGCTGGCTTTTGGAGTGGTGTGCAGAAACATAAGAGGATGCCGAGCGAGAGTCGGGTCTGGGCCCAGCTTTCACACCTCCGGGCCGGATGGCATCCATCCACGGTGCCCTGCCCGCCTGGGCAGAACTGAGGCCAGGACTGCTTCGTTGGTTCTTACCCAGGGCAGATCCTACGGTGGTGGCAGCAGTTAGCAGAGCTCTGTTTCTGTGACGGAAAGACAGCTGTGGGGTCTGGACTAGTAAACATCCCTCTGGAGTAACTTAATAATAAACTTCATGTGTGTCAATGCCTGTAAAACACAGTGAAAGGTATTTTAGGTACAACTGGTTTGTTTGACAAGTTACATTTCTGGAGTCATACTATATCGTATGTTCCTTTTGCATACACATATACCACTGATTATATTTGGTTATGAACATACTGCTCAAGTTTACTGCCTGTAGAAGTTCTTCAAACTCATGTCAACCAGTAGCTGTCACGTGGTGTAGTGCAGAGTAACGCACAGAACAGTGGAAGGCAGGTCCTGTGTGAGAGGCTTCTGGTCTACCAGATCGATGCAGAGACCCATATGCCTCCTGGTACAGAAATATCAGGGCTTAAACAAGGTCTGAGTGCAAGTGTTACTTTGCTTCCTGGACCATAGTTTATTCAACAAATCAACCTAGGCTCTCTCTTATCTACTCCTGACCCTTGTACTTTACTGTTGACATCAGTGTATCCTCCTTCACCCCTAGTAACCACCTTTATACACAAAACTCACATAAAGCCCAATGGGTTCCAGTCTTCCCTGCCCCCTAACTATCTTTCTCCCTCACTGAACCTTTTCCACTCCAAGTGAAAGGGTCTCCTGGCGAGTTTGAACTCACAGCAGTGCTAGTGTAGAACCCCGCACATATCAAGCACTCTGTGACTGTGGAATGGACGCTTGCCTCAGCCATGTCTGCATGACTTTGTATAACTGGGTGCAGGGCAGACAGCTGAGTTTCTCAGGCATGAATGACTATCATTGACTTCCAGGGTTAGGCATTGTTTGTATGTGTTTCAGGTTGTAGGGATTTTTACAGGTTTTTTTTTTCTCTTAGAAACAAAAACATCACTTTTTCTCCGGACCGCAGGCCGACGCTCTAACCGCTGAGCCAAACCGGCCAGGGCCATCACTTTTTCTCTTAAAGGTATTATTGCCTATATTTAGATATGTGAATTTGGATGTACACATGAATTTCGAATTGCACTTTTCTACAGTTTCTGCAAGTTTTCATCTGTGGTGGTGGGGGAGGGAGGGAGAGAAGGAAACATCACATTTTTAGCTGCTTCATCTACCACCTTAACTATCAGAAGGAAGCCCTGGCCGGTATTGCTCAGTGGTTAGAGCATTGGCCTGAGGACTGAAGGGTCTTGGGTTTGATTCCCCATCAAGGGCAGTCAAGGGCACATACCTGGGTTTCAGGTTCTATCCTGGCCCAGGTCAGGTCGTTTGGGAGGCAACCAGTTGATGTGTCTCTCTCACGTTAATGTTTCTCTCCCTCACGTTAATGTTTCTCTCTCTCTCTCTCCCCCCTCCCAAACCCTCCCACTCTATCTAAAGATCAATGGAGAAATCCTCAGGTGAGGATTTTTTTAAAAAGTTAAAAAATATATCACAAGGAAAAACAAGTGTTAAAATTAATATGCAGAGTGTAAGGAAGGAGCTGCATACAGTGTGGGCCACCCCAGGAGCCTGGTGCTCCGGGCTGAGTGGCGAGAGCGGGTAGCTGAGGCTGAGGAACAAGGAACACCGGGCTCATCCACTGGCCGTTGGCTCATTGGCTTTGCAAAGGGGGGGATGACTGTAAGCAGAATCAAAGTAAAATTACCACGAACCACTTGTGATGAAGAGTTTACTCCCAGCGAATGGTAAATAGTTTCTACAGAAAAAGTCAAACACAGTTGTTAACAAGATATACATCCTCAGAAAGAACTTAGGAACGACCTAACCACCTCCATGTAATGAATGGCGAGCCTCCTGGAAGCCAGGTTAGGGGAGGGCCCAGGCAGCGCACACATTGCTGGTGGAGGTGGGGGAGGAAGTGGAGACACGGAGACGTGTGTGCAGGCCAGCTCTGCTAACCTCGACCCTTTGGGCTCAGGCTCTTCCAACCCTTTTCAATGCATGACTTAGCCGTTATTTGGGGAATTAAGGGAGGCATATTCATTCTGCTAATAAAGATGGAGTACCTGTTATGTGTCAGGCAATCATTAGGGCCTGGAAATTCCAATATGAGTAAGACATAGTCTCCCTCGGAGAGCTCATAGTGTGGTCAGGAAGACAGCTGAGAAAACGGTTACACCCAGTGCGGGAGGGTTAGAGTGGAGAGTCAGGATCACCAGAGCACAGAGTCCTGGACTCTTTCCCTTGGGTTCAGGAAGAATTACCTTTGCTCTAAGGCTGAATGAGAATGGACAGTGGGAGAAGAAGGGGGGAAGGGCACGTGGCACAGCGAGGGCTGTGCGGGGGGGAGCCTAGGAGTCTGACGGAGCCGAGGAGCCTGCACAGTGAGTCCTGCCAAGGCTGAAGCTGAACGGTTCATGGGAGCTGAGGCAGCAAGGAGACTACCCAGGGAGGCAGAGCCGGGTGGGGAAACGCCAGAGCCGTCTTCTGTGGCTGACCATGAAACCCCAGCCAGCCCAGCCTGGCATGGGTCGGCCATCCCTCTGCGTCCCAAACACTGGAGATACAAACAGCAATGTCTGTCATCCTGCAAGCAGCCCTCTGTCAGTCATTTGAAATGGTGCTGAATCCGGGGTTTCTGGAACTCTGACTAAGCAGTGACACGCATGGCCTCGTGCCCCAAGCCCAAACAAGCCGCGGTCGTGATGATGGTTTTAGTAATATGTGAGCACTCACTGGGTGCCAGGCACTGGAAGTGCTGGACGTGCACCTTCTTACATCATCCTTCAACCCAGAGAGGCAGGTGGTGGTGTTACTTCCCTTTTACAGGTGAAGACAGGCTCAGCGGTGGCGTGACTCACATAGTAAGTGATGGAGCTGGGATTTGAACCCACTGTGCCTGGCCTGGGAGAGAAGCAGCAAGGTTAGGATGGAGAAGAAACCAGTGAAAGTTAAAAGA